CTATACTATCACGTTAGTGTTAAACTATACACGTGTAACTTACGAGCTCTTTGGAAATTTTCCACTCAAACAGGCAGGTTCATGTGCAATATTTAACATCGCATAGAAACTAAACAACGACAAAGATATTTTAAAAAGGACATCAAACATATAACATCATCAAAAAAAGAGTATGGTCGGAATAAGATGACACAGCACAAGACTTACCAGGGACGAAGGCGGTTAGTGGTGTTGTCTGGCCGGCTACCCAGTGTCAACTGACGCGAAAAGCGGCCAGATGAGACTGCATAAGTGGGCAAACCCGTGCAATTTCAGAATCAATCATGCATGCGCTACACAGTATCACGGGTAGAGAACATGACAATACACTGACAGACATGTAGCACAGATATATATCTGCTTGTGCGTAATACACTTTGCTCCATTCACACGTAACGCCTTTAGGATTCTAAAATTAATACCCAAATTTATATTTATTGACTGACTATAAAGAAAAATTACATGTTTAAATTTAATAGGGATAATTATTCTTTTAGCAAAATATATAAAAATCGATTGCGATGTTTAGACCCCTTGTCCAATAATTCTCGAACACAGAAAAGTCTTAATGCACCATCTTGGACTAACTTCACTACCGTAATGACGAATCCTTACAGCAGACAAGCATCATGTAAACGACCCTCTTTTGTTGACAAAGACCTGACATTACCAACTCATTAAGTAAATATTAGGCGATTGATAAATGCTATAGGGATATGCTGCCTGTCATGTAACGTAGTGCGCAGCTCACCCAGTGTTTCTGGCTAATGACGCCGCCTTGTCATCATTCGGTATGCCTGATTCCAAAGATGTTGGCAACGGCCTTCGGGAAGGTGAGCTCAAAAGGGTCAGAATGATAAAATAATACCTTGATGCACAACTTCATGCGGTAGTTATCATATCTGGAAATTTTCGTTGAAATCGGTCCATTACTGTAGAAGGAGATGTCCAGAAAAAATATTTCTACGGACGGACAAGCTGATTCCAGTATAGTGAGGTTGCGCGTTTGCCTGCTGAAACATAACGCCATTGGCTGCCAGATCTGATTTCTGCACCGTCGTTTGTTTAGCGTTCAATCGTAGCGGCAAGTTCCGTATATTGGTGGCTTGCCCGACCACAGCAATACACTACACCTTCAGGGAAAAGCCTGGGAACCGAAAGCAATTAACTATTTTCAGCAGTTTCTAGACTCATAGTTTGGTCTACCACTTCTACGTTTGGAGAAATAGAGGGAAACCCCACATTGACAGTGCCGCCAGAAATGTCACAACTATGCTTTGCCTTTGCAGCGTCGTTCACAAGCGAGACATAAAACACGTTTTTGTATTTGAGATGTTATCTACCTTGAACATGTTGTTAATTTAGCATTTCTTTTGTTTTCTTGTATATTAAAGTTAGTACATAGGGTTTATGGATAACACCTGTAAACTAACGTATATGATTTGGTGTTAACATTGAATACCTATACTGTATTCACCGACGTAAATAAAAGTGATAACACTTAACACCTATATATAAATATTAACGTTAGAAATTAATTGCTTATCCCTAAACCCCTATGAGTAAATAAATTAAGGTTAACACTTACAAACCATTTTTAGGTGTAAGGTAAGACAACGCTTTGAGAATCTAAAAAAATTACAACTATTGTCCCGATTGAACTTGTTGGGTTAGTATCATTTAAAGACTATAAATTGTGTCAAGTCCATTAATTTGCGTGCAACAAATATGGATGAACAAAACTTCTTTATCGATTCCATTTGCAGCAATATAGTGAATGCTTTGTATTCTTCAGTTGTACGATTTCAAGAACTACACACAAAAGTAGAGTGGCTCACAAAATCACCATTTTAAAATATAGCACTGACTATGAAAATATCAATGAGCCATTGTATGATTAAGGTAATAGATTGGCCTTGAACTGAAGTACTAAATTATGACTTACTAATGTAAGAATGGGCTTTATGACCTATATTAATTACAAGATGACAAATTATAGACAATTTCAAAAAAAAGTTATACAAACTTACACATGTCATTTCAATACAAAACACTCAATCAAATCTTTGAACAGAGAAAACACATCTATTTCTGAACTTCTAAAAGATCTTATCGATTTTACACAACATTAAATCTTTTATCAGAATTGTGTCCCATCAGCCAATCAGTGGAGTGAGAGAACGATCACAGACACTACTAATAATAGTATTAACAAAAAGGCATACTGTCCTCTAAAATGTTAACATCATACTAATGGTATATATATAGATCAGGCCAGTATCCTTCACACAAGTTAACTGTTGGCATGATTCAGTTTCCATTAAATTTCTCTTTAACTTCCCATTAACAACTAACTCATGAACCTGTTAAACCAAATCATTAATCCTGCTCTTTGATTATATAATGGCCATTAAATGAACCACTTAAATGTCTGAGTTTTAATGATGATAAATACGATTGTCATTTAAGTTTGCAAATAACGATGCATGGATACGTTTTTAAAGTCATGATTATTATTGATGCTGTTAATGGGAAATTAATAGTTGATTAATGGCATAAATTAGTGAAGTATTATGGCCATGTAATGGTATATGTATACAACAGTAGATCAAATGGTAATCTACACATCAGTTTAAATAATTCTATAATATCAATGTTCATAAGATTTGAGATCCTAAGTTTACTATTGCAAACAAAAACAATCAAGTAAACAAACAAATTCAAAAAAAAACATTCAGAAGATGACGGAGCATGCTAAAAAGAATAGGCATGAAATGAAAAAATGTCACTATTATTCAGAATATTGGTTACAAGTAATCACATATATATTCATATTGATACCAGTCCTTTAATGAATAAATAATAAATATAATGATAATGTATGCAATTTTGCATTTGTCATGTACTAAATGAACCAATGCAGACAGAGTGGCACAATTTGCTCAGGATGACCAGCTGTTTTAATATATCTTAATGTTCATTCCCACATTCCCGTACCATGTGTAACAAAGTGGCCACAAAACCACATCATTGTATGGTTAAACTCATGGTTACTCTACACTCTCACTAGAAATCCATGGATGTGTCTGTTTTAAATTTTCAAACATTGAGATAAGAACCAGAAGGATTAAGTGACCCACTAGCCAATCAAAACGGCTACAGACCAACATATAATCCCTTTATGAATTTTATGTATTTTCCTTTTTATGCAGAATTAAATTTAAATTATGAGACAGTATGAAAATTGACTAAATTAGAAGTAAATATATTAAAACAAATAACAGATAATGCATCAAAAAGTTTTGAATATGAAGTCTCTCCTATATTATTGTAGATTTATGAAGGCTAAATGAAGTTCACATCATACAAAGTGTTACTACATTTCACCAGGTAATTGGTTGCTTCTATTATGCTTATTGTATTTTTCACATTCACAGTACCTAGTACGGTGTACCTGATATTATACACAATGAAGTCAAACCTGTCAGTAAGTACATTGACATATTTTCTTCCTTAGAGATAACAACTGATCATACACAATACTCAATAGATATCACACACAAAAGTGTATTTTATGGTAACCATAACAGATTCTATTAGCAAATGCTAATGTAATTACATGATCACTTTAATGTTAAATCACACTTATGAAAATTTAATTTTAGTATCAGTTATACAGTACCAGAACGCTTATATACAACACTTAGGTATGAACCATGATGTAAAAATAAAAAGTTAACAGTCTAACAAATCTTTCACAGAATATATTACACACAACACACATTATTTGATAGGTTATAGGTATACAATGTATCTACCTGTGAATATAGAGCCTGTCAACCACTAGTAATTAAGTTCACACCTGTTTTTCAGTGTATCTACCGGTGATTTTAGAGTCCTTTGTCATTTTACACCAATTATGAAATAAGTTTAATCAACTTATATTTGTCACTCTTGCTGTCTTGTTTGGAAGTGGGTAGGGAGTCTTCATATGGAAGGAATCTGGAGTAACCAAAGAAAATGTATGTGGTTGTGCAGCTGACCAAGCGCCTGTCATATCTGACTGGAGAACCAAACCACACCTATCTTAGTGACAGACAACTGTGCTCTCCACTTAGCCACTCTACCACCCCGAGTCTTAATTTACCTACTACCTGTACATTTCTTTTTAAATTGTCTTCCACCCCTTAATTCTGGAACAGTATATTAATAATAATTTCCTATATGAATCTCAAATCAAAAAATCTTTCTAAAAAGAACCGAAATGATCTGGAAATCTGTCTTTCTTATTATATAGACACTAACTTGATGCTAGAGATTCCAAGTCAACACCTGAGGCAACTTTTAATTACCAGACAAATTATTATCTGCTTCCGCATATCACGCCCAGCGGTATAAATGTGTTCATTTCAACAAGAGGCCTAGCGGGCCTGTATCGCTCACCTGGATATCTAAGCAATCATGGCAAAATATTCTCCAAATAAGATCCAAGGGAATGGGCCAGACGCCAGACACCTAGGCCAATCCTTGTAGCATATCTGTATTAGAATTTTCATACCCAGCATTTTTTTGTTTGGTTTTGGGATCGGAATCTCAACTGTTTCCAAGCAGTGACTCAGAAACAAGGTCCCTAGGGGTTTGGTCAGACCCCAGGGTCTATTCTAATATCATGACTGAGTTTGTCTCTTTATGCCAAGCATTTGTATATATAATTTTGGGGTGGGGATCTCAACCGTTTCAAAGAGATGACCAAGGAGTTAAGTCTGCAAGGGTGGGGCAGACCCCAGGGTCAATTCTAATATCATGACTGCATTCATCTCTTTATGCCAAACAATTGTATATATAGTTTTGGGGTGGGGATCTCAACCATTTCAAAGTTGTGACCCAGGGACTATCTCCCGAAGGGTGGGACCAGACTCCAAGGCCATCCTGGAAGCATATGTGCATTCATCTCTTTATACTCAGCATTTATATATATGGTTATAGGGTGGGGATCTCAACCATTTCAAGTAATAACTAATAGCCAAATAATCCTTTTTGGCCCCGCCCCTCGGCCCCCTGGGAAGTCAGCCCAACCATATCTGTACAATTCTGAATTCCCACTACCTAAGGAAGCTTCCAGTCAAATAAGGTTGATATCCATCTCTTAGTCCCAAAGAAGAAGTTGCTTAAAGCAATATAGCCAAATAAACCTTTTTGGCCCGCCCTTCGGCCACCTGGGGGGTCAGCCCGACTATTTGTACAATTTGGAATCCCCACCACCTAGGGATGTTTTCAGTCAAATATGGTTGATATCCATCTCTTAGTTCCAGAAAAGAAGTCGTTTAAAGCAATATAGCCTAATTGACTCCTTTTGCCCCCGCCCCTCAGATTCCTGGGGGGTCAGCCCCACCATTTGTACAATTTGGAATCCCCACCACCTAGGGATATTTCCAGTCAAATTTAGTTAAATTCCAATCAGTGGTTAAGAAGAAGAATCGTTTGAAGAAATTGTTGACGTACATACGACGGATGCCACGGTATGGCATGAGCTCACCTTGGTCCTTCGGACCCGGTGAGCTAAAAATAGGGACAATCCTAGTGATCTGATGTCTAATAATAACAACATGGCAATGATTTTCAAGGCCAGAATATTAAACTTAAATAGTCTGAAAGATTTTGCCTCTACAAATACTGCCTTCAGTTGACATATGGATCAAATACATTATTTAACCAAAGGATTGTAGAACATGCAATGTGGAGGAAGAATTCCCAGTCTATAACTTTTACTGAAGATTGTACTTTGCCTCCTAATTTCTTACCCTTACTGCCGTTTTTATGAATCATTAAAATTAACACATATACATAATAAATAAAAGGCCTAGCAGTTGGATACATTTTTGGGGTAAATGTAAGTCCCCAAATTACTAAGGTCTGACTTCATTAAAATTTTAAATCAGACAAGAACGGTGCCTCGTTGAATGATTTGTTAAAGTTAGAATTTGACAAAAAAAATAAACATTTCTTAACCCTATACACCATCAACAAGAATGCAAATACCAAATACAGGAATTCATTTGAAAGTTTTATCATGATTACAATGGCTTCAGCACATATGTATATAAGGAGGCTAAGCTGCAATTCATTTTATGAGCCCTATTAGTTTAGGTGTAGGCATTTAGTGCCCAAGCATAAAACAAATCACAAAAGGTTTTTTATACAGTGATTGATATTAATATTATAACAGAAAAACATCCAACATCTCTTACTTAAATGAGGAAAAAATGTTTTTCCACTCCTTTTTAAATCTAGAAAATAATTGAAATCATATACTTGACCAATTATGTAATACCAAGTGTAATGCCTAACTCTTGTGAACCAGTGAGTATAGAAAATCAAAAGTATACCAAGAGACAGCAAAAGTTCATCTTAAATTTACCCAAAAAATTGAATGAGAATCATTGCAATGACAAACTATCTATATGAGATAGAAGCAAACTGGTTGGTGGGGCTGATGTGAATCTAAATGTAAATACACATCAAGCGATATGCCCATTTCTGCAACTATAATTTAAAAATAAGGTTAACTAAAGCTTGAAAGTTTATTAAATTGTTGTATGTGAGTGCACCACTTCGAGGAAATGCCATTTACATTAAGATGTATTGACCAACGTGTTCCAGATCTAATGGTGAACACCTCCCATTATATTTTCAAGGAGGTTAAATGCTATAATATCTGGACATGCTATAATATCTGGACATGCTATAATATCTGGACATGCTATAATATCTGGACTATAATTTTCTGATTCGTCAGTGTTGTGTAGACAGTGTGTAGACAGTGTGTAAACAAGTATCACAGACATGTTGATGATGTGGTCATCTTTACGCTAACAACTTGGAAGCATCCTCCATACGCTGTCTTGTCGACTTTACTATGTCTTCACCCAAAGCTTCAACAGTCGTATAACGAGATTTCTCAAAACTAAAAATGTCTCTTATCAATCCTAAAACCAGATCCTGAAATTAAAAAAGCAAAATGTAGGAACATTAATATCTAAAACTTAATAATCTGAAATTTGATAGAGCCAATGTCAGTAAGAAAGGAAAGGGTATATCAGATGGATGCATTATAGAATCAGCATGTATAAATTGATAAGGTAACAGAATCAAAAAGTTGAAATTGGTTGTGTTGGGAAAATTTGTTCCATCCATTGTTCATTATGAACAATGAAATATGTTTAAATAATTTTAATATAATAGTTTTAATAATTCCTAACTTCCTGATATATTACTGTTATTTATTTAACCGTTCTGACCTCTTATTACTCAAAGAAATCAAGGGGTTTCAGGATTGGGGGCCTGAAATCATTCCCCTTACATGAGTTAAGACAATAAAATACATAGTGAGTTCTTACTTTGAAACAGTAACACAGATCTTTGAGTTCCGACTCTGGTCCCAGAAAGCCCCACGCCAATACTGGACTGGTGTGCTCCGTTATGGAGTAAAACTTTGATATAAACCCGTCTGAAAACTGGGAATAAAACAAATCTCATTTAAATTCATTTCTTTCAAGAACAAAACAAGACAAAATTTACACGTAAAAGTATAAAAGTTTGCTGAGAACAAGATTGTACAAAAGATATCTTTTCTTTACACCAGTGATGAGTAAATACATTAAATGGTTTCGACACACTAGTTTAACATCAACCTGAAGTATTTTTTTTGCCATTAAATATTTTGATTAACAGAGCTATTATGTCCTATATGAACCCCCCGGTATTGTTGTTGGGTCTTGTTCATCTTACTGATGTGACAATGTTGTAGTCCCAAAGGCTACCCATCATGCTTCCTGAAGGGAAAATATGATAAGGACAGATACAGGTATATAGGTACACACAAAAGGACTTTTGCTCTCCTTTCATTGCTCTTCAGAAGCCCAGACCTAAGGGATGCTTACCTTTGATTGACAACTGAGTAAAGCATCAGATTTAACTAGTTTACCCTCATGTACATGCTACAATGGCCTCATAGAACTCATACTTTTATGGCCATGCAACTCACCTTCAGTAACCGTCGTTTGGCCTTTAACACTGACCAAACAGCCGTCGCTAGAGCCTACAAAGTAACAAAAAAAATGTTCTTCAATGTTTGAACTGTACTGTTTGAGCTGATTTGGCGATACATTGCGTACAAAAATCATTGCCCACCTGGATATTTAAGCAGTTTGCAAATCTCATGCTGTATAGAACTGATTCTTTAGGTCCAAGGAAGTTTCTGTTGTTCTATTTCTGAGTTTTGATTTAGGGTTTAAGTCACCAGGGGACTGGCCAGCCCTGGGAAAAACTTAGGTAGCAAGCAAGCAGGTATTTAATTACAGAGTGTAGATCTCCCCAAAACTCAAAATTATAACCTCTTTTTGGCCCTGCCCTTCTGTTTGCGTATTTTTTAATTATCAACACCTGAGAATATTTTCAAACTAATATGGTTGGTACCTGTACTATAGTTCCATAGAAGAAGTTGTAAAATGCAATTTGGCCATATGACCCATTTTATTGCCATGCCTTTCTGTCCCTTAGGGGATCAGCACCTATTTTTATACAGCTTAAATCATCATCCCTAGAAAATGCTTCTAATCAAATATGGTTGAAAGCAATTCAACTAATTTACACCTTCCTTGGCCTAGCTCTCATCCGGCAACCCCCCCCCCAGAGGTCAGCCCCTCAATTTTTACAATTGCGAATCCCCACTCTTTAAGGGTGTTTCCATTAGAATTAAATAAAATTCCATTCTGAGGTTCGAACAAGATTTTTGAAGAAATTTGCCAACTGACAATTACAGATGACAGATGTCACATACAGTATAAGCTGACCTTGGTCCATCAGATCAGATGAGCTAATAATACTTTCACAAGAATTGGAAGAGAGGTATTATTATTAATATGTGGTTTTACCAGATAAACCACTTCGCCCAAAAGCACAACTTTTTGCTGAGCTTATCCAATTAGACATTCCTGTTCCAGGAACTTGTTAATGAATTACTATACATTCTGATAAAAAAAAACTTATTTACCATGATATCATTAAACATTTATTATCAATATTTCCAGATGTTTGAAGAGACACTAAATGGTAATTCTATTGCAATATAACTATTTAAAGGTTGTTTTCATCTCTGTTGAAATATGGTTTTATCTACGCCAACAATTATCAGATTCTAAAAGCAATTTACCGTTTCTTTAAAGCCATTTGACAGCCAGCGATTCTGTACCACAGTGATGACAGACGATGGAGGATTGGCAAGGTCATCAAATGCGTCCATCAGGATAAAATCAAGGACAATGTCATAAAAGGAGAAACATTTTACCTGCAATTAAAAAGTAAATAATATAGTATCTTAATTAACTTAAAAGTTTTTCAAACTATGTATTTAGCAGATTTTTTTACAACTGACAAGACACATTGGTGGAATGTAAATTTGCATCAGAACATTTCTTGCTTTATTCCCCTATGCCATTACCTAGTGTTAATAGTTGCCAATTATTATCCCTTGTCTCCTGAAGACCCATCAGTTCTTACTCTTACCCAGTGTAACAATCATTTCCGGAGTTCATAACCTTGCCCCTCAGTCTTTACTTTTTATCTCCTGAGTTCCTATCTCAGCCCCTCAGCCTTTACCCTTTATCACCATAGATCTTACCTCTGCCCTAAGCCTTTACCCTTCATCGCCACAGTGCCTACCCCAGCCCTCAGCCTTTACTCTTTATCTCCACATTCCCTACCCCAGCCCTCAGCTTTTACCCTACATCTCCATAGTTCCTACCCCAGCCCTCAGCCTTTACCCTACATCTCCACAGTTCCTATCTTAGCCCTCAGCCTTTACTCTTTATCTCCACATGCCCTACCCCATCCCTCAGCCTTTACCCTACATCTCCCCAGTTCCTTCCCCAGCCCTCAGACTTTACTCTTTACCTCCACATTCCCTACCCCAGCCCTCAGCTTCTACCCTACATCTCCATAGTTACTTCCTCAGCCCTCAGCCGTTACTCTACATCTCCATAGTTCCTACCTCAGCCCTCAGCCTTTACTCTTTATCTTCACATTCCCTACCCCAGCCCTAAGCCTTTACTCTACATCTCCACATTCCCTACCCCAGCCCTCAGCCTTTACTCTACATCTCCACAGTTCCTTCCCCAGCCCTCAGACTTTACTCTTTATCTCCACATTCCCTACCCCAGCCCTCAGCTTTTACCCTACATCTCCATAGTTACTTCCTCAGCCCTCAGCCGTTACTCTACATCTCCATAGTTCCTACCCCAGCCCTCAGCTTTTACCCATCATCTCCATAGTTCCTGCCCCAGCCCTTAGCTTTTAACCATCTTCTCCACAGTTCCTTCCGCAGCCCTCAGCCTTTACCCTACATCTCCATAGTTCCTAACCCAGTCCCTAAGCCTTTATTATTTATCTCCATAGTTCCTACCCCAGTCCCTAAGCCTTTATTATTTATCTCCACAGTTCCTATCTTAGCCCTCAGCCTTTACTCTACATCTCCACATTCCCTACCCCAGCCCTCAGCCTTTACTCTATATCTCCACAGTTCCTTCCCCAGCCCTCAGCCTTAACTCTTTATCTCCACATTCCCTACCCCAGCCCTCAGCTTTTACCCTACATCTCCATAGTTACTTCCTCAGCCCTCAGCCGTTACTCTACATCTCCATAGTTCCTGCCCCAGCCCTTAGCTTTTAACAATCATCTCCACAGTTCCTTCCTCAGCCCTCAGCCTTTACCCTACATCTCCATAGTTCCTAACCCAGTCCCTAAGCCTTTATTCTTTATCACCACAGTTCCTATCCCAGTCCCTAGGCCTTTATTCTTTATCTCTACAGTTCCTATCCCAGTCCCTAAGCCTTTATTCTTTATCTCCACAGTTCCTATCCCAGTCCCTAAGCCTTTACTCTTTATCTCTGCATTCCCTACCCCAGCCCTCAGCCTTTACTCTACATCTCCACATTCCCTACCCCAGCCCTTAGCCTTTACTCTACATCTCCATAGTTTCTACCCCAACCCTCAGCCTTTACTCTACATCCCATAGTTCCTACCCCAGGCCTCAGCTTTTACCCATCATCTCTATAGTTCCTACCCCAGCCCTCAGCTTTTACCCATCATCTCCATAGTTCCTACCCCAGCACTCAGCCGTTACTCTACATCTCCACAGTTCCTATTCCAGTCCCTAAGCCTTTATTCTTTATCTCTACAGTTCCTATCCCACTCCCTAAGCCTTTGTTATTTATCTCGAAAGTTCCTATCCCAGTCCCTAAGCCTTTATTATTTATCTCCACAGATCCTATCCCAGTCCCTAAGCATTTATTCTTTATCTCTACAGTTCCTATCCCAGTCCCTAAGCCTTTGTTATTTATCTCCAAAGTTCCTATCCCAGTCCCTAGGCCTTTACCCTTTATATCCATAGTTCCTACACCAGCCTCTAAGCCTTTACCGTTTATCTCCACAGTTCCTACCCCAGCCTCTAAGCCTTTACCGTTTATCCCCACATTCCATCCCCCAGCCCCTAAGCCTTTCCCCTTAATATCCATAGTTCCTACACCAGACCCTAAGCCTTTACCCTTTATAGCCACAGTTCCTATCCGAGCCCCTAAGCCTTTACCGTTTATCTCCACAGTTCCCACACCAGCCTCTAAGCCTTTACCGTTTATCCCCACATTCCATCCCCCAGCCCCTAAGCCTTTACCCTTTATCTCCATAGTTCCTACACCAGCCCCTAAGTCTTTACACTTTATATCCACAGTTCCTATCTGAGCCCCTAAGCCTTTACCGTTTATCTCCACAGTTCATACACCAGCCCCTAAGCCTTCACCGTTTATATCCACAGTTCCTACACAAGTCCCTAAGCCTTTACCCTTTATATACATAGTTCCTACACCAGCCCCTAAGCCCTTACCCTTTATATCCACAGTTCCTATCCGAGCCCCTAAGCCTTTACCCTTTATATCCACAGTTCCTACACAAGCCCCTAAGCCTTTACCCTTTATATCCACAGTTCTTACACAAGCCCCTAAGCCTTTACCCTTTATATCCATAGTCCCTACACCAGCCCCTAAGCCTTTACCCTTCATATCCACAGTTCCTACACCAGCCCCTAAGCCCTTACCCTTTATATCCACAGTTCCTATCCGAGCCCCTAAGCCTTTACCCTTTATATCCACAGTTCCTACCCCAGCCCCTAAGCCTTTACCCTTTATATCCACAGTTCCTATCCCAGCCCTTAAGCCTTTACCCTTTATATCCACAGTTCCTACCCCAACCCTCAGCCTTTACCCTTTATCTCCATAGTTCCTACCCCAGCCCTCAGCTTTTACCCATCATCTCCATAGTTCCTACCCCAGCACTCAGCCATTACTCTACATCTCCACAGTTCCTATCCCAGCCCCTAAGCCTTTACCCTTCATCTCCACAGTTACTTCCCCTGTTCCTCAGTCTTAACCTGTAATCCCTTTATCAAGTCAGCATTTACACATTGCCCTCTCAGGGTCACTGATCCCTCAGTATCTAAATCTTGCCCTCTTGCACCCTTTTCTTGTACCCTTTACCCTTTTACCCCTGGTTTCCCAAGCTCTTAAATGATTGTCCCAAATCCCTGTACCCAAATCCCTTACCAGATTGTCCCCAAAGCTTACCCCTCGTCCTCTCAGCTCCTCCTCAATGGTGCCCCAGTTACCTACATCTCCAACAAAGTCCATCATGTTAGCAAAGGCCTGATTGAAGTCATCAGCGTCCTGTTGTGAAGACAGAGAATATAGTAATGTAAAAGATACACCTTTGCACTGCCTAGAAGCTCATCATATAACAATAAAAGGACTGCTTAACAATATGATGGGTTTTTTAAGTTATGAAACAATACAAAAGATCCCAACAGTGGGTATTAAAATCCTGTAATGAAGTTTCAAGTATTTTTTTACCTCTCTTTCTTGAGAAATACTGGAGAAATCTGAAATGAAACGGGAATTAGAAATCTGATCATAACTTACGATCACAGGAGAACCTATGTGAGAAATTTGAGAAATATTCCTCCATTTTTCTCAAGAAAGAGAGATAAAACGAATTACTTCTCCTGGGATCTTGGCACCCACTGTTGTAAGATTTCCATTAACTCTTCATACATTTTATCTGAAGTAGTCTTTTCTGCTATCTGATGGACTGATAGAAATAATGTTACAGTATTAGCATGTGCGATTGGACATTGTCCTTTTAAAGTGAGGTTGTTATTTGGCCTATTTAGAAGAATAGAAATGAGTAGAAAGTAGAACAAGCGAGATTTCTGATAGCCATATTTTTCTTCCAATCAAGCAGTTCCAAGCTCAAAAATGGAACATGCAAATGGGCACTTCCTGTTGAACTTTGTGAGATTTAGTGATAACAGTGTTAACCATCAACATCTAACTACTGCCTGGCACCCATCTTGTCCTGCTGGTCAGTCCAAAAAGGAAACTTTCACAACTCAGGTTCACATGAAACATACATAACAAATTTGAAAAAAAACATATCTCTGTTGAGAAATAACAACAACAAACTTAAACTGTCAACATGTCTGTCTTGCCAACATCTTGTTGTTCTGAACAGTCTTAAAATGAAACTTTCATAGCTAAAGATCACAGGGAACCTACTTAAACTAGAAAATGTCTGTAAGACATAAATGCCCCTACTCATGGATGGGGGACNTGATGCTCTCAGCTTATTAACTGCTGTCTTTAGGGGACTATTGGTTTAATACAATAGCTCTATTTTCAATTATAGTATATCAATTCTATCTTCTTGTAATATGATGTATATGTACATGTAACCGTTCTGTTTCACTGTGTCTTGATGAAGGAGCGGATCGCTGCGAAAATTTGACACCCTAAACTTGTCCACACTGTTGGAATTACTTCTTTGCCCCATATAACATCAGCAGTATACCTATATATTAACTGGTGGAATGTAGAAACAATTTTGTTCAGTAAATAAGTAGCACAGCCAGATGGTTGCACAGGAAAGGAAAAATGGACCTTTCTAATAAGATCACTTACTCTATCAGCTTTTATCAGGAAACTTCCCAAAATCTGCTGACCCATTTGATGAAAGTACCTCCTATTTTCTTGGTTCTGGAATACCACCTAAAATTGAAATAAAAATAAATGAGATTCTTCAAAAATGTACCATCAAAAAAAGGAATTATCTTTTGCAATGAAAGAGTTTTATAGAAACGTTTGGTGTCCAAAAGTGAATGACAGGTAATGACACTCTAACCAAAATGCTTTGGTTTGTCTTTGAACAGGAGCGCTATAATACAAAAGGCCCACAATTTAAAACCTGCTGAGTACCATACAGGTTTATCAAAGGAGTACAATAAACAAAGTTGCAAGAAGAACTACATATAAATCTGTTTTGGAGGGAAAGACACCAAGAAAATGAGTTTCCATGTTTTTATACAAATTAAATAAATTGATTTTTTTGTCCCTAAGCATGCTTCAGACCAAATTTGGTTTAAATCCCTTCATTTGTACAGAAGGGAAAACATTTTTCNACATTTTTCTCTATTTCCTCTATTGGGCCCTGCTTCTCTGCCTGGGGGGGGGGCACATCTTCCATTTATAAATATTAAATTTCCTTTGCCCGAAGATTCTCTAGAACAAGTCTCCTGTATTTCCCCTAATGGACCCATCCATTTGCCACAGAGAAGGGAGCCCATATATAGAAAATTAATTTTGTTTGTCTCTAAGCATGCTTCAGACTGTATTTGGTTTAAATCCCTTCCCTTGTAAAGTAGGGGAAGAAAATCCTCTATTTCCCCTATTGGGCCCCACCCCTCTGCCCTCAGATGGCCCACACCCTCTGTTTATACAAACTTGAGGCTACTTTGTCCAAAGATGCCCTAGAACAAATTTGATCAAAATACTTCTATTGGTTGAGAAGAAGAAGATTTTTAAAGATTTACCTATTTTCCCCCTATTTGGCACAGCCCCTCTGCCCTCAGGGGGGTCATACCCTCTGTTTATACAAAACTGAGAACCCTTTGGCCAATGATTCTCCAGACAAAATTTGAACAAAATCCCTTCATCGGTACAAAAGGAGAAGGATCTTTAATGTTTTCCTCTATTTCCCCCAATGGGCCCCATCCATTTGCCACAAAGAAGGGGCCCACACACCTCAGTTTATACAAAATTGATTCTTTTGTCCCTAAGCATGCTTCAGACTGCAATTGGTTTAAATCCCTTCACTTGTATAGTAGGAGAAAACAAATCCTCTATTTCCCCTATTGGGCCCCGCCCCTCTGCCCCCAGTGGGGCCACACCCTCTGTTTATACAAACTTGAGGCTCCTTTGTCTAAAGATGCTCTAGAACAAATTTGGTCAAAATCCTTCTATTGGTTGAGAAGAAGAAGATTTTTAAAGATTTACCTATTTTTCCCCTATTTGGCCCGCCCCTCTGCCCCCAGGGGGACCATATTCTTCGCTTACACAAAACTGATAACCCTTTGGCCAATGATGCTCCAGACCAAATTTGGTCAAAATCCTCTGAGCCATTAAGGACTAGTAGCGTTTTAAAAGAAAAAGTTGACGGACGAAGGACGACGTACACCCGACGACGGACGCTGCACCATGGCATAAGCTCACTTGGCCCTTCGGGCAAGGTGAGCTAAAAACCAGCATCTGAATCCCAGACTAAAATTATCTGATCAGTTAACAGGTTAGGATGTATACCCTTCTCAAGCATATTAACCTTTCACTGTTAGCCAGGAGTCAATGTGTAGAGTTTAACTAGATTTGAGTGAGCTGGGTGTTTATGGCACAACAACATTTGATATTGAGAACATACAAAGCAGGTCAAAGTTTTAGAGTACAGATGCAAGGATATTTCAGAAAATCAATCTGTTTGTACATTTTTTACTGGAAAGCAACTTTGACACATAAATCAGGGTTATGCCTGTTTAAATATTAACTAACTGAATTACATTTTAAGCGATAGAGAAGGTGACATTATGACTGCGCTATCTAGACACAGTAAAAGCTGTGTGATTACTTACATATTGAGCCGATCTGATGCAAGGAAGTTTCCTTTTGGTATAAACTAGAATTGTCAGTCACAGACTAACCAACACCCCTATTCCTTCGTGAAAAAAATTGTTGAAATGAAGTCTCTTGTAATGAGTAGCAACTCACAAAAGGGGCATAACTCCCATAACAAGAGGCCCAAGGGCCTTAGCGGTCACCTGAGTTATATCANGATCCAAAAAAAACACAGAAAGTGATAATTACATCCATGGAGTTTCAAAGATGAAAACAGTAAGACAAGATGTCCAGACAATATTCTGTCTTTGGACAGATGGACAGACAACCTGATTCCAGTAGGATCATGGACCCCCATCCCCTAAGTACACCCTCCACCTACTACATTTGTTGCAGAGGCATATTACTGGCGAGAAGCTGTGCCATTACTTACATCCAGAGCTAGTCTGATACAGTGAAGCTTGGCCAGGAACTCTGTGTCCGACATACACTGTGTCATCTCTGTCCTGTGGAAGATCATAATCATCATACAGACGATATTAACGTTGTAACATCATAACAGGCAAAAAGGGTTCTTGTAATTGTTTGTAGTTTTCAACAAGTCCCACACATAAAATGAGCTTCTTCAGGACAAAATTGTTGGACCACAATGATATTTAGAACATCTACGACCTCCAGTTCAATACTTGACTTCAGAATTTCGAAGCAGATATAATTTTAATGAGTTGTGGACTGGTCTTTTGATTTAGATATAATTAGGTAAAACAGTTATAAGTAGGTCTTAGATGCGGGAAGAAATGATACATCAACGGAAGGGATTAGGAATCATCTAATTATAATAGTAAAAATAAAGAGATTAGGAATTAGTAGTAAAAAACATCAAGTTGACTAAACAATATTATAATGTCCCATTAACAGAAATGTTCTACCAATCTACAGGCTTAGTGATGTCACCTTCATGTCATCTGTCTACATAGCGTCAACTTGTGTTTTACCTCAGAGTTCTACAAGTGATAGAGCCATGTTTTAGCTCCAGGAGACCAGCTTCATACAATGGTAGGTGGTGAAACATTTCTCTGTGGGTCTCCAAGTCAGACAAGTTGGCCATCTGTAGGTAATACAAAAATACCAGTGTATAAAGAGAAACAACAAGCGATGTATGATTTTTTCGTATTTTGGAGGGGGTGGGTGGGAATTATAAAAATTGTGAAACATTTTTCTTGTGCAAGTCAAGAGTATAGTTATGATAATCTATGCACCAAGTTCAAACAAAATTCCTCACAAATGTTGCCAAAATAAAATCAATTATATAGATGATCAACACAATGGAAACAGCATAACCCTTGCCTTTCCAAAGAACGTAGGATGATAACCAATAAAGACCCATTGGTTCAGATTAACCTCCATTTCACACAATCACCATTACAATTTATGCTGTTCACCATGTAAAAGTGAAATCTGCAATAATCAAATTATCCATCATCTTTTATTAACAGATAATAAACAAAATCAATTGGACAAACAATTGTTCTACAATAGTAAGGTATGTATTGTAGAGATGTGACGTCTAGGAAATCCTTGGACTCTGCTGGACACCCCCTATGTAATCACCAATTCATCAATTTATAGCCTTTCCCTTGTGACTTTAAAATACAATGTGGCAGCAGTTAAAAGGTATGAGGATTTTGGCCGGGGCCAGTTATAATGATGATCCTTACCTACCTAGAAGTACAAGCCATTATGATAATTAAAACTTACTTAAGGGTACACATCATTGATAGTGACTTGTGGCTACAGGTACAAGTTATGATGATGATTTTTGCTGGCCAGGAGAAATAGAAAACAGAAAATTAAATAGATTTCAACAAAATTTGACATCGATGATCAATCTGATCAAACCAAGGAGCCCATCCTTACATCAGTGGCCGACACAAAAGACTCCTGGTCACTGCTGGATGTGGCATCCAAGCTCCTTCTCTCAGACATCCTGTCCACCTCCGTGAATGCAGCAATGGCAGTGTCAAAGGCCACACGATCTGACTGACGCTCACACTGGTGTTCATAACTGTCAATCAGTCTGTACGCGTTCTCCAGGAGTTTGTCGAGTTGATTATGAAGGGCAATATTGTCAGGATCCTAAACATCAGAAATACAAAACTTTGTATTAAACAACAAGTTAAGTTACCAGTGTTTGACAAGCAATACACAATGTGGTCTATAGAGTGACATATTCACAGAGACATACTGACAACCCAGCAAATAAGCATTCCATGTTAATGTCAGTGTGTAGATATTTTACTACCAGTATGACTGATGGTTTGTAAGATCTCCAGTATATATAAAATACTTATCGATATGGCTGTTGGTTTGGGGGGGGCAGGGTATTTACCTGTATCTCCAGTAGATGTAAAATACTTACCAATATGGTTGTTGGTTTGTGAGGGGCAGGGTATTTACCTGTATCTCAAGTAGATGCAAAATACTTATAAATATGGCTGTTGGTTTGTAAGGGACAGGGTATTTACCTGTATCTCCAGTAGATATAAAATACTTATCGATATGGGTGTTGGTTTGTGAGGGGCAGGGTATTTACCTGTATCTCCAGTAGATGTAAGATACTTACCAATATGGTTGTTGGTTTGTGAGGGGCAGGGTATTTACCTGTATCTCAAGTAGATGCAAAATACTTATAAATATGGCTGTTGGTTTGTAAGGGACAGGGTATTTACCTGTATCTCCAGTAGATATAAAATACTTCTAAATATGGATGTTGGTTTGTAAGGGACAGGGTATTTACCTGTATCTCCAGTAAATATAAAATGCTTACCAATATGGCTGTTGGTTTGTGAGGAGCGGGATATTTACCTGTATCTCAAGTAGATGTAGAATATTTACCAATATGGCTGTTGGTTTGTGAGGGGCAGGGTATTTACCTGTATCTCAAGTAGATGTTAAATACTTACCAATATGGCTGTTGGTTTGAGAGGAGCGGGGTATACGTTTTTACCTGTATCTCCAGTAGATGCAAAATACTTATCAATATGGCTGTTGGTTTGTGAGGGGGGGGGGGGGGCAGGGGGGTTTTTACATGTATTTCCAGTAGATATAGAATACTTACCAATATGGCTGTTGGTTTGTGAGGGGCAGGGTATTTACCTGTATCTCCAGTATATATAAAATACTTATCGATATGGCTGTTGGTTAGTTAGGGGCAGGGTATTTACCTATATCTCAAGTAGATGTAAAATACTTACCAATATGGCTGTTAGTTTGAGAGGAGCGGGGTATACATATTTACCTGTATCTCAAGTAGATGCAAAATACTTATAAATATGGCTGTTGGTTTGTAAGGGACAGGGTATTTACCTGTATCTCCAGTAGATATAGAATACTTATCAATATGGCTGTTGGTTTGTGAGGGGGGGGGGGTATTTACCTATATCTCCAGTAGATATAGAAAACTTACCAATATGGCTGTTGGTTTGTGAGGAGCAGGGTATTTACCTGTATCTCCAGTAGATATAGAATACTTATCAAGTTGGCTGTTGGTTTGTGGGGGGGGGGGGGTATTTACCTGTATCTCCAGTAGATATAGAATACTTACCAATATGGCTGTTGGTTTGTAAGGGGGGGGTGGGTATATACCTATATCTCCAGTAGATATAGATTACTTATTAATATGGCTGTTGGTTTGTGAGGGGGGGGGGGGGGGGGGGGGNCGGGGGGGGGCAGGGGTGTATTTACATGTATCTCCAGTAGATATAGAATACTTACCAATATGGCTGTTGGTATACTTGAATCATCAGGACTCTGTAACTTCACCATAGCATCTTCCCAGTACTTGACAGACAGCTGCAGGGTTTCAAACCCTAAAACATTTGACAGAATTCCATTCATTATACACTTCTTTGTCGGTAACAACATGGATTCTTATTGCTACACCAACTCCCCAGCTTGTACTTTTGTGTCAGTAAACAAGGAAAACTGTGCTTTCAGTGTTGTAGAAAGGCTTGGACATACCCAGGTAGCCTATATTTAAGCAATGAATGTTTTAGCAAATGTTGTTATGGTGCTATAACACACATTGCTATTGATGACAAACCTAATAAAGCCTGGTAGGTCTTTATGTGAGTTTGTCAGCAATAGAAATGTGTGATATAGGACCATAACAATATTTGCTATAATATTCATTATTTATATTTACATATCATGCTGTTGTTATGCTGTATTTAGTTATTTTGAACAGTTCTTTGAACAGCAAATAAGTGTTGCCAACAATGAAATTGATGATGCCACAAAAGAGATTGTTGACATTACAATATCAAATGTTGTTATAGTCTCACAACAACATTTGCCCTCTCAATGCATTGCAATGGAAGGATGCAGAGCAAATGTAAGTATACTTCTGTATACCCCTCACTTGTATACCCTTACCTAGAGAACATAGCTGTACCGGCCCATAGTTGGTAGTGTCCACCACAGGATGGGTGATGGTCGAGGTGGTGGATACAGCTCCCAGACTTGAGGTGGATCCTGATAGAGACTTGGTCCGTAATAAGGACAAAGAGCGATTAGAGCTCCCACTTGGACTGTCAGCTCTTCTCAAGCGGCCCATCAGGACATCTGAGACATACAAAGATGAATGAGCAGATTATTTGGGTAAAGAGGCTACCATAGAACAGTTCTCCTTGTATCTGATAACAAGTTTTATAAAAATTAATCTTCAACAAAACTGGTAAACATAACGATGAAATAAGAAACATGATTTATTCTTTCACAAATACGTAACTGAAACAACAGCATACTGGGCAATGTTGAAGCCATGTTTTCTTGAAATATAAGTATACTCAAGCTATTTATTTCATTCCTATATATGCATTTGAAAGGTGTTTTTAATCATTTAAGAAAGAATATTTAATGCTTCAAATACGGTACTGAATTTCGTTTATATACTTCTAGTTAAAGTATTCTATCTAACATGGCTAAATGAGAATAAAACATGTACTGACATGTTTAACTTACTTACCTCCGTTAGGGCTATTTGAATATGAAGATTTGTAAGAAGATTCATTCTGTTCCCTGCTTTCTTCTTTTCGAGATTTATTTTTCCTTTTATCCTTCCATCGGCGGTAGTAAACAATCAATCCAATCACTGCTAGGATACTGATGGTGGTCACACGGGCAGGGGAGGTAACTCTTAGACTTGGAGGCAGAGTAAACTCCGTGAATGGTAAAAACCATAATTTGTTCAAAGACATGATCACTTTTTTTAGACAACCGCTGTATTTTCAATTCATCCTGTAGTCATGTTGCTCCAGAGAAATTCTGAAAGAGCATTAATTTGGAGATCAATTACCCTTCAGGTAGTTACAACCAATCAATGGCATGCTCATTAATAGTAACACATAAGCTACATTAGTACTAACATTTATCCAGCCTTTTTTTACAACGCAATATATAAACAATGTCTCGTCGTCAGAAGCTATATGTTATTGCAGCTAAAGCTACATATGTAGACACTTATACTAGGCTAACACTTGACTGATATTTGAATTATTGGTATTACATGCATGCGTAAACAGAGTTGATTCCCCTTGCTTCACATTGCCTTTAAAAAAAATTCGTCTGGAAGTAGACGTCCAGTGGGGAAACAGGAAGTGTATCCTTGAAGCAAAGACAATTTTGTTTCAACCCATACACGAACATCTTCATATAGTGAAAATAATCCTCATGTTTTATTACTTTTTTATTTAGATAAAAACTAATATACATTCTGAATGAAAAAAATCTATCACATAAATTATGATACAAACAGGCATGAAACTTCGTTCAGAGATTATCATACTATGATGTCACAACCATGTCACACTCCATCGGCCTTCATTGGTTATTTCTGGAATGATGAAAAATAACCCAAAAATGCAACAGACATTAGTTCCAAGTTTTATCTCTCCGTCGGTGCTTCATGACTTTTAAATTTTCGGTTTTTGCCACAGGCACAAAAAATAGAAATGGGGATATTTTCTGAAGCCATTTTTGTCATCAACCAGGTTCTGGTAATATTTCTACCAGGAGATCTCTTCAAAAAGAGCCGCATCAAACCAATGAATAGGTCAACAACGTTAGATGTACATTTATTGTTCATCGTCTAAAATTTCATCAGCTTTTTATTTCCATTTGTTGAGAATATGAAAGGAATAATTGATTTTTTTTAAAGACTGGTTATAGTCTTTATATAATTTACATATGCATCACTAATCATAAAAGAAACAATGGATAATTCATTTATGACGAAATCAACAATAATTGTCCAGACAACCAACCTGAGTTCAACGCTCTTTTTCAGCAACGTATTACTTTTTTTCACAACGCGTGCCGATTTTGCCGAACTAGTTACAGATAGTAACTGCTACATTTTATTTGGCATCATTACCTGTCAAACCTCGGTGAAAGTCACAAAATTTGAAATTCAATCCGGTGTTTCAGGACGGAACAGGAATTGAGATTACATATGAATATAATGACAATCTCAGTTACATCAAAGTATTACAATGTTGTTGTTGTTTTTTTGGGGGGAGTTTAACTAACATCTCAATACATTTTCTAAGATTTATCGTCAAATATGTAATATGTACTTTTTGTGCCCTGACGGAAGCACGCAGAGATTAATGTGGGAGGACGATGAAGTATCCGGAGAACCCCCGCGTGGTCGGGCAGGTGGTCGGGATTGTATCTGGCCATCTACGTTACGCATGCTTTATGACATCATAATTCAGCTGATTCCAATGGGGCCCGAACTTACTCGAACTTATCCCATGGCGGGGCTCGTTTGCTCATCCGATCCGACAGGGAAAATGAAATAATGTTCAAAAAGGACGTGCTGACATACTTCCTAGAACAGACTTTAACAAAAAATGGGCCGAACTCGCCCCGATCACAGGGGCACGGTTCAATTTATCAATTCATATCTTAGGTCTCCTAGTTTACCATACAAAATCCCCTATTGTTATGCCGGTCCTAATCTCATTAGAGCTGATGTTTTATTGTTATTCCTCGACTAGCCAACTTTAAATAAAGTTTATCTTATCTCATTCTGAAAGCAGTATTTTGAATCAGGAAATATCAGAGATCAACAAAAGCTACGCTTTTTTAATGCTTTGCCTTTTCATATTATATCATATATGAATGAGTTTTAGGCGGTTTCAGAACATAGCACAACCGCCACAGGTCAGTGGTTTGAATTGCTTTACAGTCTCACTTTACTGACAACCATCCCTACAAGATACCGATATACACGTGTATGTGTGACAATGTGGGGTGCTTGTCTGGATACCTTACAGCCATCCCTTTCCTGAGACAAGCACTGATTTCTACTAACACTGGAGTTTGAATCAGGCATGTCAGGAGTCTGGTTGAAAGTCAAACAGTCCTACGTGTAAATTGATCTTTGTAATTCCCAAACGTAGGCTTTACAAATGTGTGTTATGACATCATTACTAACTGAGCCTGGTAGAAAGTGTAACTGTCATAATACCTCGGATTTTCCTGTTTCAGCTTCAGCAACATTGTGATGGCCTTCTGTCGTCAGCAAACAAATGCAATGACTGCTCCCTGACAAGTAAAGCTAGAATAAACAGAGTTCTTGATAGTTTCGAATAAATAATGTTTGAATAATAAAAGAACCGGAAGAAAATATCTTCCGGACAGAAGTTATTATATTTTGACAGAGTACTTATATTATATAACTACGGCATGTTTCTATGGATTGAGATTCATGTTGTATTTTTGTCATTTATTTTTACAATTTAAAGAGAGCACATCATTCCCCGACAGTAATTCAAGGTCTCAGTCAAACAGCATTTAACTCATGGCATCTTGCTATATTTATGATTAATATGATTATAAATAGAAGTTAACTTATAATTAATTCTGTTTCTGTGCATGTGAATACACCATAAACACTGTTATGGTATTTTAATGAGGGTCTCAATTAAAGCATCATTATTTCTCTGAATTTCATTTTGCCTTTAATAAAAATTATAAAATGGACTGAAAATCAACAGAGGCCATCTTTAATAGGTTCACCTGAATTTCTATATTTACTTAAAGTTATTTGTTACATCAAGTTATTTGTAATGGATCAAATAGATGTCTGTCTTATCTGAAGCTTTGTCTTGAGCTAATACATTGTATTATAAAATAAGTCTTAATGTTTAGCCGTTTTACTTATTCTAATTACACACTGAGCTGTCACTGGATAAAATCCTGAAGTTAAATTATAATCATTCTTCCTAAAAATTTGTATCAAGGGTTACTTAAATTTAATGGGACTCATGCATTTCTGTTTTGATCCCATTATATAATTAGTAACTTACTTGGAAAAAATAATAACTTTATTTCATCATTATTTTGGAAGCCCTTGAGAAAGAAAAATCTGATACATTACTATACCTTTAAAATCTCTTTCTAAGTGTAGTTGGACGACCAATATCCAAATTATACTTACTGAAATTGTTTTTATTATGGTGAATAACACTGGCATAATTTTCAATTTCAATAAGTTACCCATTTCCATTAGTTTAGTTGTTCGTTTTTTGAAAATGAGAATGAAAAAAGAAAGATATAATTTACTGAAAAAAGTGCATGCTACTCAAAAAAAAACACATTCCCTCAATGTAAGTGTTAAATGTGTATATCAATGGTGCAGTACTAGTAGCCTAGCTAGTGTGAACAATGCTTAAAGGGACATAACTCCATAAATAGGGGAGGTAACTCCCATTTATACTCTATTCACATCCATTTGATGTACATTTAATAGGATCTAATAGGATACATGATAGACACAGGCAATTACTTGCCTCTATGTTCATATTATATAATATAACAATTTAAATTTAAATATCACTCCCGCTGTTAAATTTGTAGCTAGCTATAGGTTACTAAATTTCAGTTTAAGATATTTTCAATGATTTCATGTCCAAACTAATTTCAAAGTCTGTAATTGTTGTAGCCTGTATGACCTGTATGACCTGTATGGCCTGTATGACCTTAGGCAAGGAAGACTGTTCCATATATCAATAGTTCTGTAGCCAAAGGAATGTTTCCTCATATCTAATTTACAATGTTTTTTCTTTAATTTTTGTGTTTGCTCTCTTGTTCTAGATGTTCAATCTTGATCAAAGATGCCAGCAGTAACTTTGTTGTCGTAAAAATTGTTCAAAATTTTACGGACATTAATCATATCTCCCCTCATTCTTCTCTTCAGTATGTCAGTGTTGGTATTCCTAATATCTTAAGATGGTCGCTGTCTAAAGGACAGACCCTTTAGCCCAGATATTAGTTTTGTTGCCCTAAAGGGTTCTGTGTACCAAGTATTATTTAAACTAGGACACTGACAGATCAGAAAGGGTCTTGCTATATTGCTGACCGTACACACATACACCAGGTCATGTTCTAATTTGTTTTAGTAACAGTCACCTTGACCCTGATGTTAGAAACTTTTTGAACTCCCTTTGCAATCACTGGATGTAAGGGTTCTGTGTACAAAGTATCATTCAAATCTGCATTTTTTTTAACAAAGGAGCATAACTATAAATAGAGGAGATACCTCAAATTCATTTCCTTTATTCACGTATCCTTGATGTAAGAGTAGCATGCACCAAGTATCATTCAGTGGTTTGAGAGAAGTAGTGTGGATGTTTAGTCTGTTATGACAAACAAACAACCTGATTCCAATATAACCCCACCCCTTTAACTTCATTGAGATGGTATAACAATGTCAATCAAATGATAATATTTGCAATTGTTCCAAAAATCTAACTATATGGCGAAACATTTGTAAGTTCAATAACAAATAATTTGACAAATCAGTTAATCTTCCCTCATTAAATCATCAATATTGTGATAAATCAAAATCAGGTGTTCATCACTCAAATTGTTAATATTGTCAGAAATCAGGACAAATCTATTTGCCTGTCAAATTTATGTAAAATATCTGGTAACATATATACTGGTCAAGGTCGGGTGTCACATGACCTCCCTAGTGACTACAGAATCCTAATATCAAGGTAAAGATCAAGTGTCAGAGTCCACCCAATAGTGACTGATGAATTGTAATACAAATGTCTTAATAAACATGTCATTACAATTGAAGTAAATGTTAGATCTAGGTCAAGGTCAAGAGTGTCACAGCTCACCCAATAGTGACTGATGAACTGTAATACAAATGTCTTAATAAACATGTCATTACAATTGAAGTAACTGTTAGATCTAGGTCAAGGTCAAGAGTGTCACAGCTCACCCAATAGTGACTGATGAATTGTAATATAAAGGTCATCGTCTTAATAGACAGGTCGTCACTATAGTTGTACATGTTAGATCTAGGTCAAGGTCAAAAGTGTTACAGGCTACCCAATAGTGACTACTAATGTCTTCGTAGACGTGTCATCACAATAGCAGTAAATGTTAGATCAAGGTCAAGGTAAATAGTGTCAGGTCACCCAAAATTGACTGATGAATTATTTGGTCAAAAATTCCTGTCAATTTATATTTCAAGTCTGGCATTCCATTGTTGTTTTTATAACTTTGTCACCCTTCATGATTACATAGTTTGATACTCCCTATGAACAATTCATGTCGAGAAATTGACGAGAGACACTGTTTTCTTGGCGTTTTTAATCAGTAAAGGAGAAATCCTTAATTGTACAGCCGTACGTTTAAGCGACAGCTGTCGGTAAATTTCTAGCTAACTAAAATGTCTATCCAGTCGAGAAAAAAAGGTAACTTCCCGCTTTATCTGCCTAGCCTCTCTGATTACAAATATCTGCATCTATTCTGAATCAAAAACATCGTTTTAAATGAGTGAACTATTTTACTTTTTAACAAATTGATATCATACTTTCTGCTGTTTGAAATTCTCCCTGCGGCACAATCTCAGTGTGTGCATGCTCTTATTGAACCTGTTCTGTTCTATCTGATAAGAGGTATATCTTATGATACGTGTAATTCTTACTCGCAATGTATTTTATAAATTCAAGAATGTGGTATGTGTGAACTCAGACTCATAACTGACGCCGTGTTGTCGGTCAACAGCGTTGTGCTGTACCTGTTTACTTCTCATTTAAAGGCCCGGATATTGTGCTATTTCGGTCGTAGCTATTTTTATCGTCAGCTTTCCCAAAAGATGAAACTGACCACACTGGACATTGGCTTCAGGTCATGTCATTATCAACTACGTAAACTTTTGTTACGAGATATATATATTCAGTATCGACTTGATTTTCAGGTTATCAAAAGAAATAACTTCACTAAATTGTCCCTTTAGCTAATAAGTATATATTCACAAATGATTTTATCAATTTGCATGTTTTGGATACGACTTCCTCTGATAAGAAATGACGATGAAATGACCTTCAATGTCACTGTAAATTGTAATGATATCAACACAAATAACTCAAGTACAAACCAATAGCTTACTGAATTTTTATTGGAGTATTGTTCATATCAGAACATTGCGTTCAATATCCATTTATCTACATTTAACATACTACAAACAAATGATCTAAATTCTACATGATGTGATGAACTGAACTCAATCAAGGACTAGAAAAATAAATAAATAGTAAAACATAGAAAGTGGAAAGATAGTCAGAAGAGAAAAGAGAAGGCATTTCTGTGCAGAGTAGATGTTCAGTAATAGAATCTACAAGACATAAAGCTAACCCAAATATTGCAAAAAAGTAAAAATAAGAATGTCTGAAATCTCCTCCTTAAACTAAATGTATAATATTTGCTGGTAATGTTAAAACCAACTTTTGTATTTCTTATACTTATACATGAAGAAAGCAACTTATCTAAGGTGAGCAATGCTTAAAAGAAGTTTCTATAAATACAATCTTTAAATCAGATGATCAATGATTTTTCTTTTTCTCATTTTGAAATATATCAGGATGATCAACAGTTTTTAGCTAATTAGATCAGAAAATATTCACATGGAGTGGAAATTTCTCAGAAGTTCTTACTTTCTACTTTAATTCATTTTTCGTAGGAAAGGAGGTGGAAGAATCCAGAAATCTTGTAATATTAACAAGAGTACATGAACACTGGATGTAAACCAACAAACATGATACACTTGTGATAAACCTGTCCAGTGATAAACCTGTCCAGTGGTTAACCTGTCCACTGATAAACCTGATCAATGTTATTACACATAGCACTCAATACCTTATATGTACAGCAATTCATTCTCAACTCTCACTCACCCGAGAAAATCAAGTTATCCCAACCTGTTTGACAAACATTATTACTAAACAATGTACTACCCAAATCTTCCCTCAAAACTTGTTTAAATTTTTTTAAAAAGTGACAAAATTAAAAAACATAGCCCAAAACATTTAATAAACTAAGTATAAAAACCAAGTTTAAAATCATTATGTTTAATATCATGATTTGGTTTTGCCTTCGATCCATGATTTCTCTTATTTATTTGATTATAATATTTTGCTAAATGGTTTTTACATAAATAAATGTATCATTAGCTTTCATATAAGAAGTTGTAAATATAACTTTATCTTTGGATTTCAATTATTCAATTATAAAACTCTGTTGATAAAATCTGTTGAAAAAAGGATAACTTAAAACATAAATATAAATCTCAGGATTTTTCTTTTATTCCTAATCCATACTAAAATACTAGTAAACTGTACTAAAATACAAGTAAACTGTATGATATACGATTACAGATATCTTTACAAATAAACATCAATACATTCTGTACTGAGAAATCATTTACATATTTACATAAATGATACAAGTTTTAAATACAATTTGTACATACATATTTACAAATTAAGAAATAAAAGTGCCCATGCCTGAAAACCTTAATTAATAGCACTGTTTTCAGACAAAAGTCAAGCAAACAAAAACAAATCTTCTACCTCAGACAGAGCTGACCATACATCTATAATTTCCAGAGTTTGAAATTTATGTTTAAAAATTGTATCTGTTGATAAAAGACTTTTTTAGAACACCAAATCATGTGCTTACTTCAGATGCCTTAGAATACTGGGTTAGAAAAGCTGCCTTAGAGTACTGGGTTAGAAAAGCTGCCTTAAGTACTGGGTAAATTAAAGCTCTAGTTGTATAACAGGATTGGAACACCAACCCCCAGGGATACTAACAATTGTCAATATGAGTATTACAGGAATTTGTACATAAAAAGCAAAATGAACAGAAGCGGGTACGAAATATTCTGAATGACACCAACCCTCTGTTTGGAGTGTAACTACTATAAAACAGAGTTGTAGGTAATGCCAGTGTCAACATAGTCTTTAAGGTTCCTGTTTAAAGTGTAGTCTGTACACTTATATGAGGGAGTGTCTATTACATTTCTGTTACAAGTGTCAATTTCACAGATTTTTGCCAGAAATGAATCACTCAAAAAGCTGACACAACAACTGTTTTCACAAAAGCACAGAACAGCACACTACGTGAGGAAGCATCTATTGATTTTGTCCATTTCACAAGATGGTGACGGAGGAAGATCCGGAGCAGTCACTGTGCGAGCTGTAGTGGTCCAGGGATCCACGCACATCAAAGACGCGCTGCTCCAGAAGACTCTTCCAGGCGTACTTCTGCTCGGCATCTGGTGCTCTGAACAACATCTTGTCGACCTGGTCGTGACGGTTTCGGCTAGATCCCTTGATGGCGGTGGCAAGGTGGAGGACCAATTCAGTGGCTGTAAAACAAAAACCAAATCAATTAAATAAACATTTTTAACAATAGAAGCTTTGGTTTAATATCTATTTCAGATCCAGGATATCAAGTTATCAGTTTCGACTTTATTTAAATGAGATTTCCTTCACATTAAAACATGATATACTAATGTAACATTTTGTAATATCAATTTCTTAAACATTTTTCATTTCAAAACAAAATCCTTCAATTGCTATTTTTCAGTTCTCATTTGAAAGCGAAGGAAAAGCTTTTCATTTTGCAAGTATAACTATGAGATGATTCCCAATGTTTCCTCTAACTGTACTGTTATCAATCCTGTCAAATGTATTGATTTCTTTAATGGAAACTATTGACTTTTTTTATCTGTACTTACTGTGTTTCCTGTGACCTTCTACTCCAGCGACGTTTCGGAGATATGTAGGGTTCCAACAAACTCTGAGGCGGTTGTCACGGTCTCTCTCAGTCTCAAGGAGCATGTCGGTGAACAGCATCACGTAAACCTGGAAACAAACAAGTATAATGTTATAATTTTATATATCTACATGGACCACATTAAGTAACACAGTATTGATGCTTTTAGGTTTATTATTTGTTTAATATAACATAAATGTGAAAGTATTTTTAAGATATATGTCAATTTCAAAATCATGTGGAAGCAAAATATACCATTTCACTTAAAATAAGTAGACATTACATAAAAATTTGCTTTTTGTTCGTCAGTATTCTCTTCTAATATTTTGTTTCCATCATTTCTTATCTTACCTTGACCCACTGCTTCCCCTCCCATCGGAATAGATCCCCAGCGAAGATGAGGTGTCGATCATCCTGCACAAGCTGGAAAGGCTGGACATTGGATGCAAACACAAGGTTGTCCTGGATACGAGCCACCTGGGAATCGACGGATCGCACTGTTGCCATGGACGCGGAGGTGATGATGTTCGGGCGCTTGGCTCTGCTGGAGGACCTGCCCGATGATGTGGACCCACCGTCACTGCCACTGCTGGAGGCGGAGGAGGCGGAGGATGAGTAGGACAGACGCTGGCCTCCCTGTTGCGAGCTGGATGAAGAAGTCAAAGAGGTCAGGCTCTGGACGCGGGCAACACAGCTGTAGTTGGTGATGTTGGTGGTGCATTCCTGTAACCCTAGAAACAAAAATAAGGTTTAGAAAATGTACATATAGCCAAAAAACTGTTGTATCATTGATATGAAAATTTTAACATGTATTTACTTTCAACGTTATAATTGTTAAACTGTTAATCTTAAGTACGTTGAATATTGACACAATTAACTCACAACATACCGGACACCGACTACTGAACCTACACCGACTACTGAACCTACACCGACTACTGAACCTACACCGACTACTGAACCTACACCGACTACTGAACCGACACCGACTACTGAACCGACACCGACTACTGAATCTGAATCAAAGTGAAAATTACTCCTTAGATGTAAATATAAAAAGTCTCACAATTACCAAATTAACAAGAACATCCAAATGTGTAAATTTATATTCAGTGACCTGGAACTCCCTATAGATGTGTGAACTTACATTCAGTGACCTGCTTGAGCTCCTTGTAGTCGTGGTGGTCAGCAGGTGTGTTGATGAAGATCTCACGCAGAACTTGGTACAGGTCGTTGATATGCTGTAGAAAAAATAAACATTATACATTAAAACATCTATCAGACATACAAAACCATACAATCCGATTCTTCTTACATTGATACTTAACCAGAGACGGGAAATATTTCTTACTCATGATAAAATGAAAGAATTATGTTAAGCATGGGTGGTTTATGTTGAGTTCAGCATTGAATTGTATGTTTCAATGACATTCGATTTCTAAATGTGTATACAAGGGAAGATGATAATGTTTTTGGGGGGGTTTTGTACTCCTCCAACATATCCTAATCTATTTTGTTATCTTGTGCCGTTAACTTACCTGGACTGGTCTGCAGATGAAGGCACTAATAGAAGGTTGTCTGGAGTCTTGGATGGGGTCCTACAAATACAACAAACATTAAATTAGGAACACTGGCAAAAGATTTATTTTTTTCAAATTCCAAAAGCACATTGCATAAATTTGCAAAAGGTTTTAGGTTTATTTATGAGGTTTTGCATAAACATATGAATTTATCTGTTTAGAACAAATGATTTCTTTTAAAATTTAACTTGAAATTTATATTTGAAATTTGTTTATCTATAGCTGAATTTAAACACAATATCAACCTACCTTGAGAAACTTCATGAAGTCAGTGTTCCTCCTGAGGTCTGAAAGGACGTTGTTGGCCTCATCTAGTCCCTTGGCATACAGATCATAGGCTTGGCACAGCATATGCATCTGAATTATGTAAAAACATTCATTAGTTTCATAATAGAGATGCTTGTGAAGAATATTTGGTTTAACATTTTTTGATGAGACATTGTGCAAGAAATTGTATGCATTACCTCCCCTTAGATCATTATAATCCGCAATAAGCAAACCAATTTATTTTGTAGGTAATCTTTCATTATCTATTAAATTATCACATTTGTCAAATGAATCTGAGAAATGATAACCCTATTCGATTTCAGTTCTTATTATCCACTTATAGACCATTCAAATCTGTAAGATTTAAAGAGACCTAATTTTATAACCACTGCCTTACCTTGGACTGGTAGATCATTCCCACGAAGTGCATGAAGTTCTGGCCATCAGCACTGCTCATGGAGCCGTCAGTGTCCGAGGAGAGCATGGAGGGACGGTTGTCGTTGATCTGCTTGACCTGGTACTCGGAAATTGTCACTACCTGTCAATCCAAACAAAATTCAGTTAGTTTATATAAAACCAATGATTTTCTCATTTAAGTGAGCAAACACCAGCCCACATAACAAATAAGGTATTTGCAATAGAAACATTTTTGAAAAGTTAGAGAAAAGTTGCATATGTCTAAGACTTTGTTCAAAATTGTAAATAAAAATTAACTTGGTAATTTTTGGAAAACAGAATGACAGTTTAGCGAATAAATTTTAAGTTGTGAATAGATGATACTCCAATCTTAGTTTAGCTTGCTTTCTTACCTTCTCAATGTTCTGGAAGAGAGCTGTGTGCTGTTTCTTGCTGAGGATGCAGTGGCGAAGTGGTCGGGAGAAGCGCTGCATGCCAGCATGCATGAAGTCGATGAAGTCAAGCTCCAGGGTCAAGAGTCGGTGCATGGCCTCCTGCTTTCGTCGCTCAGCAGTCAGGACAGTCTGAATGAAGAAGGGAAAACATGAAACTTGGAATCTATAACTGGTCGGTAACTTTATATATTCTGATGGTTAAATGAAACTTTAGATATACTGATTGTCCAGTGCTTTTTTGTTCTAAGATTGAAAATATTTGCTCAGACATAAACAAAAAAAATTGCTATCAAGAACCAAGAAATATAAACTTTGTCTATGAAAACTGCAAATCAAGTAAATTGCCATGTTTTTGTTTGTGATGTATAATCATATCAAACAAATCTCATTGTATCACATACTTAAGACGATCTATACATTTTACTCCTTATTTATTGCCATGTTTTTGTTTGTGATGTATAATCATATCAAACAAATCTCATTGTATCACATACTTTAGACGATCTATACATTTTACTCGTTATTTGTTGGTAAGCTTACATATCTTAAGGATGACTTACCTGGTGGCCGTTACAGAACAGTGGGAGAGGGGTACTGGTGATGAGGTTGCTGGGAAGCATAAGCAGGTTCTCGTCGACAGAAATCTCGTTCTCCTTGTACTCCTCGTAGGAATCTGCCTCTGATGACTCTCTGGGGTCCAGGCCGGCACGGATGTCGTGTTGCTCAAAGGTCCCAGCAGGGGTCTGTTTCCATGGTGACTTGTCAAGGGTCTCGATGGAGATCTGACGGGGGCGCTGAATGTCAAGAACTATGGAGTTGCCTGCATGCCTGTAGAAAATAAAAAGAACACTTTAGTTAAGATTTCAAACAATGTGGAAAACTAATTTGAACAAATATTGATTGAAAATTTCTGATGAAAATAATTGCGCTTTCTTTCCAAAATATTTTTCATTATATTTTTCCAAATAGGTTTCTGATAATGAGCCAAAAAATTATTGATTTATTAAAACATTAAATAACAAAGTTCAGTATAACTTTAATGTAGGTAAAAATTTACCTTCTGTTTGATTAAAAAGGTATTCTTTATACAAAACATTTGTCTGTTAGTGTTTGCTAGACTTACTTGACAAGCTTGGCAACGCTCACGGCCTGTGATCGGGACACATTCTGGCTGTTGACACGGACAACACAGTCACCAGGCTGGAGTCCTGCGCTCTCGGCAGGGGAAGCTAAGACAACAAGAAAACATGTTTTAAAAGGATGTTATAAACTTAGGGAAACTGAATTTCCTCAGAATACATAAGTTTCACTTATAAATTAAACAGAATTAATTGATTTATCTACACATTCTGAATGGGTATAAAGATTTCTATATCTAAGCTTCTTAAGATAACTGTTTCTCAGCTAAAGAATATTTCAGAAATGTGTTTACTAAACATTTGATGGAATGTTTTCAATTTCTTTTGAAAATTTCAGTTCATGACTTAATATAAAATATTTTACCATGTCAGAACCATCTTGTAATGAATAAGGATCTATAGGTGTATATTGATGTTAAATCTGTTTTACACTTACCTCTATCAACGCGGCCAACCTTGACAGGACAGGATTCGATCACGGAGAAGCCAAAGCCGTGCTTGCCTCGGTGAACGGTTACCTATAAAAATAATGAAAGATGGTTACAACAAAGTTATTTCCCTTCTACAAATCCAAACTTAATATAATTGGAAAATATATTGTTTTCATCTTACAATTATACTCAACTACTTACCAAGTCAGATTATTTTCTCATCAAAGATTTGTTATTAACATCAAATCTTTTAATTTCTATATTACTTTATTTCTATTTTAGCTGTTGCTACTTACGCTGACGGAATCCATTCCCCATACATCTTTGTTGACCTGTGGAATGTTCTCTGGGTCTGAAAGGAAAAAGATTTATTAAATAAAACGATAGATACATGAATGAGAAATATATTGATGCTTTGATGATACAGAATACATAAATGCTAATATTCTTACATACAGTAAGATTCTAAAAAGCACTTTAGACTCTAGTACTCTGCAGTAACATTTATACATAGAGAAGGGCTCTTGTTCAACTGTATTAAACAACAATTGTGGCCATTTTCAACTCTCAGTCAAATCATTAAGGACCGAAAAAATATCATTATTTACCGACTCCAATTATATTCAAGTTTTGTTGATTAATAGAGTGATGTAACTCTTTTCAGTGTTTTTGGTTTGGGTGACTTACTTCGTAGCTTGAGTTCTGGTTTCTGTTTGTGGGACACCTGTAGATGCTTCTTACGTCCAATCTCCTCAGTCAGAAGGTAGTACCACCCCCCAACATCCTACACAAGGAAAATCACAGGGTTATAGTCTCATTAACATTCTACACAAGGGAAATTACAGGGTTACTGGAAATAGTCTCGTTAACATTCAAATAAGGAAAATTACACGTTAGCTATATATAATTACTGTGTGGATTAAAATCTTAATATGTCTAAAGCTATATCATCTACATGGTACAAATCATTGTTGACAATGTGAGAAGTAGAAAACATTGACAGCAAGTCTAAATTAGTATAATTAATCAGATCTTGGCAATATATGTTGATTTAAATTGAATGCTGTTTCTTACCTTCCTGGGGTTCAGCAGATGACAGATACCAAACGACATACAGCCCAAAAATTCTGTCACACTACAAGATAATCAAATTAACAACATTACTAAGCAATTCTATAACTTCAGTCTAAGTGTTTCTGCGATACATGTAACAACATGGTATGCTAATCTGACTTCACGTTTGAATACATCACAAGTTAAACTTGTACAATTACAATTTAAAATAAAAATGTTTAGATAGAAAAATGTTAAGAAAAACAAGTAGATTAAAATACAAACTTGTTCTTGTGGTTTAAAACCTATTTTTGTAAGTAATTGAGTCTACTTCCATGTCCCTTGACTATCCCGGTAAGAATGCCCAGCCCCTTTGATGTTGTGTTTTATCACAACATTACCCCATTTAACAACCAGGGTACAATGCTACCTGATCCCTAACATCACACACCCCACCTTTTACCTGAACTCCCTAGCCAGGTAAAACCTAATTAGCTAATTGTGTTAGCAGCACAGGGTGTGCTCCACCTTGATTTTTGAGATCACATAAAGTAAGCTGCATGGGACCAGGCCACCAGTTCAAAGCTGATTAAATTAACATACTGATTATGAAAAGTGTTGAGAACCCCGGTTGACTTCAGTTTGACATACTTTTAGTTGAGTACTGGTATAATTAGCAGACATGGTTCAATTGATAAGGTGTCGTAGAAGTCTGACTCGGCTAGATGGAGACATACGGTAACCATTATCTAAACACTGCTTTAGTAAGGTGCCATGGGACTGTTCATAACTTTAACCAATAATGTATCTAATTAACCTCTCCACTTTTCCCTTTATCACACAATAATTCCATGTTAAGTAGAAATTCTAATAAACCTGCAGCCTGACAGAACATCTGCTGTTTGTGGTGCCCGTGATTTATTGGGAAAGTGAAATTAAGTCTCTGAGACAAACGTTCCTTTATACCTAACATGGCTTCTCTTCCTGAGGCAATATTATACACACTTTTAATAGCTGAACCAGAGTCTGTCTATCTCAGATTTATTTTCAAATGATAAAAGCATGAACTTGTAATTATGGAATTTTTCAAAGAAAATTAATGATTATGTTTCACAATATTAAGTGCCCCAACCAAAATCTGTAAACTTCCATTAACAGTCCTAACATTTGTAGTAAGGCAAAAAAAATCGGCATTGGAATGGTCCAAAGAAGTATTCAGTCTGTGAACTCAAATCAGCAATATTTGAGGATACTTCTTTATTTTTTGTGGGAGTAAATTATTTACTTAACAAAGAATGAAGTCTTGAAACAGAAACAGCCATTTCAGAGACTAGGTGTTTCAGTTGTACATAGAAGGGAGGAAGATTTATTTTCAAAAAGATATTTTTAGAAAAAAAATCCCTCTGTATGTTGGTGTGCTAAATCAGTTAATCTTTCAAATTTTCTGAGCATCAAAGGGTTCTATATCCAAAGAGATGGTCACCTGGTCTCGCACCTTCAGGTGTGTGAGGGAGATTTAATCTGAGGTATAATCTGGTTGAATTAGACTTTTCCTGCAGAGTAAACTACTGAGGCTAATAATGGGAGGTGACAATACACCACTGTTCCCCGACATTAAATGGCCGAGTCATCACTGTACCTCTGAGCGACAATGCTCCTATTATCACCATTCCCCACTTCTTATCACTTTAGACAGATCCAGACAAATTCAGACACATTATTCAAACCGCACACTAACTCATCGTCTGTTTTGACACATCTTATTGTATTATATCAGGCTTTTCATACAAAATTACTCAATATTACAAATGTGCATAAAGGGAAGGAACACAAACTGTCGGGCCATAACATATTGTACAAAATTTATCAGATTTCCAGAAGAATTCCTACACATGACTTTAGTTTGATCACCTGTCCTAGATCCTACAGAAACCTACACAATAATTTCAATACATGACTTTGGTGTACCGCAATACATAATGAAGCAGTAACAGCTGCTCAGGTTCCCATGGAAACCAAACAAATATATTTAACAAACAATATATCGGAAAATACATGTTTACCTTGAACCAATAAACTTATGATCACCTGCAGATGTTTTGATCCATATCAAATTTTGAAAATTTTAACAGTTTTAAAAAAAGCTTAAATTCTGTACTAGCTGACTGCATCCAAATACACCTCCCCTATCATCACAGCTTTCTTTCATACTTGAAATTCATATCAAATATAAATAATTACTGTTCAGATGAATATCGTACAACGACTCTCTTAAGCCGTCAAACCTCATTTCAATTCCTACAAAACTTGTACTTAAATGTTGGAAGTAGATCAATGAACAGAATAATTTAAGTGTATGCTGTTTCATTTAAAATATAAAATCAAACTCTATGTTTATCTACTATTAAATCAGTTATACCTGAACAATTTGCACCTGCCCACACTGAAACTCTAGATTCCATTTTTAAAGATTCAAATATTTTCATGACATCTTTCTTTTCCATACATTTAGCAATTACTAAAACTCTCAAATGACCACTTTTAGCATTAGAACCAGTGAATACCAAGGGGAGACCATTCTATTTGAGTCGTAGCAGTTTTTTAATGTCCTACAAAATTCCTTGTGTCATGGCTAATTAAGATGCCATGAAGTGAATAACCTTTTTTTCCATTTCTAGAGGTAATTGTCACAGAATTTTATAAAAAAAACACCGATACATTTAAATAAAAAGTACATGTTTTCCTACCTTGTGCCTTGGTCCCTGTGCCAGACAGATACCATCAGACGTTTGTTGTAATCTTCCTCAGTCAGCTCGCTGTAACAAAGACAAACACATTGTCAAACAAGGGGAAAAAATCATGGACATGAAATCAATTAAAAAATGTAATGCTCTCAGAGCAGAAAGTAATGGTGTGGAACATTTGATCATATCAAAACATTCATATATAGCTTGAAGCCTAACATCCTTTTTGTGTGTAACAACCTTTCTGAAATCCTTGTAAAACAGCGGAATATATGTTAATTATTTAACTGTTTGAAAATAGTTGAGATATTCCAATGGACTAAAAAATCTTACAAATTCTCTTTAACTTTCCTCTTTTTTTTTGTGTGTTTGTGAATAATTTATCGTCTTTCTTAACCCAAAACATTTATAAATCTCTTTCAAATACTACACATCAATCATTTAAAGCAAAAGGTATTGCATGAATTTATTTTAACTGAAATTTTATTACAAATGAGGAAATAATGGTTTAAACGTCCCTTTATACTAATATCATAAGATAAGAGAATCATGTAGTGTTGGAAATATGTAGCAAGCATATGTTTAATCTTTGTTTTAGACATTCATTTCATGATAAGAATAATGAAAAACAACACCCATTATGTAGTTATTTAACTTTCAATAACACACTTTTTTAATTGTATGACTGACTTTATATTATAGTATATTTTCAAGCATCATTATAAACAGTTTTCTACTAAAATTTGTATACCATATGAAAGATTGATATATTGAACGGTGAACTTATTAACAAATATATTTGAAATAATTAAAACAAATAAGTATGTCATACAGTACCAAAGTATCAGTTACTCCACAGGTAGCTAACATATGACACAGGTAAAATTATCAATAAACTGAACAGTATCTAATTAGTGTCAATTATCAATTTGTCTGTACAGGTAGCTGAACAGTGACACAGGTAAATCTCCTACCTGGTACACAGGTAACTAATTAGTGTACTACAGTGACTATGCCAGATAGTCTGAGGAAACAATGGCTTACACCCACACTAATTAGCCTGACAGCACAGGTAGCAGTGTCACCTGTTATCTTGACCTGCTACCTGTAACTGATATCTACTTGTGTCAGCTTCTGCAGCTAAATTGATACACAGGTAACTAAACATGAAATTGGAGGTGGACAGATTTCCAATTGGTACTAATTGTATCACACTTGATGATACCTCTGACATCAATCAAATCTGACAGGCAGAGAGATTGTACAGATAGCAAACTATTCATTTTTTTCTTCAAGCATGTTCCAGTTCAAAAATCAATAATTAACTATGACATAACAGTAACACATTTTAACACATAAATAACAATTTTTCTTTACAGTTTAAATTAAGTCAAACAATCCCACAAACTTAATGACATTTTATAGTAAAAATAGTCAAATATTTGGAGTCCCATCATACTATTTTATCAATTTGATAATTTTTGAGTGGCCTAACATTAAAATTTCCATGTTTTATTTTCATTAACATCCTTTTACAAGTAAGTTACTTTTTTTTAAATGTTGGCAAATTTGTATGCAATGGTGATTAATCAAACATAAAACACTGAGTTGTTTCCCATGAAATCAGTAACATATAATGTGTAGGATTAGGATAATCCCCAGGTGAAAAAGATGTGATTTAACCAATAAAGCCATGAAATAGACACCAGGTAAGCTTCATGGGAAAAATGCACCATGTATAATCTTGAGATGTTTTGAAATTGTCAGAGAAAAAAAATATAAGTAAAAAGGTAACACAATTTACCAAAAACTCATTCAGTTTGATTTAATTTTCAATAAAGTGAAATATTTTATTCCATGAGTATGAGTCATAAAACCAATTTGAAATTATTTTGCTTGCATTTAAAAGCTACTTTAATTCATTCCTTCTAATTTTTAATCTGTTATTTTCTCTGTGAAGTCTATACCTGTTTGACAGGTATTGTTTGTTCATTAGTCAGGTGTATTTATTCACACCTGTTTGATATACACCACCTTACACTACTGACACCTTTACATAACCTAATATTACACCTAGTTATACAGGTATTAACACTGTTTGTCAACAATCCATTATTTTGTCACTAATATTAAGTTAATTCCTTCGATGATAAATATATTTCCTACAAAGGATATGTGAAGTCAGGTTTCATCAAACCTTATCAAATAAAGAAAGCCACAGGAATACCACGGAATGTCTTAAAGTTGTAAAACGGATAAAAGTTCCTACTACATCAAATTTAATTTTGTAAAAATTCTAAGTGTGCAAAAAATGCTTAAAAATACTTTGGTATTTGAATTGAAAACCCTGGAAAAGAAAATATTGTTAATTTGAGTAAGTAAACATTTACTTACAAGGAGAACTTCTCGTCGTAGAGCGGGTTGTTCGAGTCAATCACAGTCTCAGTCTTGCAGCGGGACTTCTTCGTGTCATCCGGAATCAAAGACATCTGGAAAATTAAAAAATAAGAATTTAATTGATATATTTATTAAGAACATTTCAGCATTTTTAACTTTTCGAAATTTAAAAGCAACTAGATACATAACATAAAAATTGAATTTTGATGAGAAAAAATTACAACTTGTTTTAATAAGGAAAATGAAACAGAGTAGAAATACAATCCTTGATTAAACAATTTATAATTTATATACTTTTTAGCAGTAAAACGTACCTTGATGTAGGAGTTACAGAGGGGTTTCCACTTGGACTGCAGATGACGAGCCTGCACAACTGCAAAAACAATAACTCAGTTTTAAACTCATTGGTAAAATTCAGAAAGCATTTTCAGATAAATAAAATATAATATTTGTTTTTTCTTAACAATAAGTAAGTACTGACTGTAACCAATAAAACATATGAAACAAAGAAATTATTTTAACTTCTATGGGAATTTATCAGCTTTGTAAGTATTTTCTTTCTCAGTAAAACTTACCATGAACAGTCAAAAGGCCAAAGTTCATGTAGGCAGAAATCTTCAGCTGTCCTGTAATCATAAAAATAATATTAAAATACAATCAATATCATTTAAAACTTAGTCATCAATTTTCAGTTTTGCATCTACATGTCTTCAATAATTTTAAGAATAATGTTAAGGAGAGGATAGCATGTCTGAAATAATAGGGGACTTTAGGAACTTGATCCTGGTAATTCTAAACAGCTGAAATAGATCATAAAGGATAAGACAAGTCTGTAAGTAACAAAAAAACATAAAACTAGGAATAAAACTATACTTCATTGTGCAAATCATAAAATATAACAAAACTTTTTTCCTGAAAAACAGAGGGAAAAAATAATTAATAATCCTAATTAATTACCTCGAGCAAACATGCCACGCTTGGGAGGTCCCAGACCCAAGGCTGCAGTGCCCAGCATAATGACCATGGTGATACACTTATGATAATTCCAGGAAATAAGTCAGGACACACTGAATGTTACTGCACAATAACTGATGATGAACTACTAACTTCACTTATATAGACAATAGTGAGTACATCCAATTTATCCAGAGCCCACAAAAGTCTGCTGCACCACAAGTTCCTATCCCTATCTGTCACATAAGGTTTATTGAGATGAAATGAGGGGTGTAAGTTATACAGGTGTAAAAATATGGCTTAGGGACAGTCCTACTCTAATTTGGAGTAGAGGTCAAGGAGGTCTCTGATTGGTCAGAATTCCAGGTGTGTACATGCTAGGTACATACAAGCTACCCTGGGAAGGGATAAGTGTATAGGTATGTGCAGCCAGGTGTGAATTTTACAGGTAGTGTGTAATGATAGGTAAGCTACACCTGTTCTAAACAATAGGTATATGTTCTACTGAGCAGCTCAATATAACCAAATAAACATTCTAGGAAAAACACATACATTTTAAGTTATTGCTTAAGATAACAAGAAGTTGAGTATTAACAGGTTCTTTTGAGAGTTAATGGGTTTGTTTATAGAACTGATACAAAATATCTTTAAGGTCAAACTGGGGTGATAAAATCCCAGACTTTTAGCATTAATATAATTTTTAATCTTTCTGACCCCCAAATGTCTGATTTCACCTGAGTATTTTCTCACCTGTATCCTACCTGTGCATATTCTATGAAAAGATGTCAGATTCATGACACTTCACAAAATAAATATTGCCGAGTTTTATTATCAGAATTTGTTTATCCATTGGATATTGCTATCCTGGTCATGTGCCAACAGCCTGTATAGGGCATTAGGGAGATAGGTCCTGATAAAACCTCTACCCTGGGCAGAGACGTATAAATACATTATTATACGTCTCTGCCCTGGGTGATACTCTAAATGCAGTGTAATCTGCTAGTTTCACTAACTTCCACTTTCTTCTTTCAAACTTCATTTATTTTTTAATAAGAAACAACACAGCAATCATTTCACATAGTAATTGTGTGCAAGTCATTGGAAATCTTTTCATGTTTCAACATCTGTAATTGTATAACATAAAATTTTAGATTTATTTTTTAACAGAAGCTGTAATATATTAATATTGTCTCGGTTAAACGGTGTGTAATGATTATCAACCTGAAGCTTGCTATCTTCAAACTTTTGAAGTTAACAATTTATGGCTTTAAACATTTATTCCTAGATTAAGTCCCCACCACTGTCCTAACACCTCTTATAGACATAGTGACCTCATAACCAAATGTCTTTATATAACTACACTTTAATGCTCGAATGATCTAACCAAAATAATTAAATGTTATCATATTCCTAGATTTTCCAAGAGACAAGATAGGTTGTGAATTTGAAACAATCTTGGATCATATTTTTTAAAATTAATACCGCAGAAAAAAACCAAAATAACAATGATGCCAAAATCAGCAGATCATTTGTATATATATTATTTAATGTTATTTTACTAAACTGTGCTTTTTCTCCTTTGTAGCATTGCTTACCTCAGTCACCCAAACTAGGCCTCATCAATTGTTGGTTTCAATTTGTTGTTTGTTAACAAAGATTTTTTTTAATTTGATTTTTCCCCCTATAAAAGTTTAACTGAATATGGCAGGTGTATACTTTTGTAAAATGTATGAATTCCCCTTGTTTGCCCCATGCTCTACCTGGATTCCGATACAGCAGGTGTGTGGAACAATGCTTTATGCGTATGACAGGGCACGTGGATATTGGATAAATAGGGAGCCTATTGACAGATTTGAAACTTGTCAACTGTGTGCCAGGAGAGACAACGGAGGCTAAAATCAAACACTCCAGATGAGATATACTTGAAAAGAAGATTAATAATCACTCTGGTCCCCTAGAGTACACATTTAAAAAGTGAGCAGTTACCCATTATCAAATCCTTTATCAAATCTAACTTGGTGTAAAATAGGTTGCTGAAGGGTATAGAGTTGAGAATAAGGATACATCACGCGTCAATGTTTAGGATACCACGCGCCTAACGTCTATCGGTTAACTTCGACATGAGGTCGCTCACACTTATACAGAGTATAACATGTCTTTGTTTGAGGTTATAGCAAGGTATTTATGAGTAACCATTGAATGTCAAGGTAGTATAACAAGTGTAAAAGTAAAAGTACACACAAAATTGGAGAAGTAGTGTTGGAATGAATTGGAAACATTTTAAACTTTAGAAATTATTTCAAACAAATCTTATGTAAGTGATTACACAACTATTGGAGACCTACATTTCTTATTTGGTATGTATACATCAGATTGTTAAATGATGAACAGGTTTTTTATTTACACAATAAATGTAAGAATAAAAAGTGATGGAGTTATTTTGAGTGCCACACATTAAATTGTAATTGACACACATAATAAAGAAACATTCATATTAATTGTAAAGTTAAATCATCTGCACTGCTGTCCATCGTCCCTGTGTTGGTACCCCTGGGTTGGTACCCCCAACCCCCATCCCACCTATGCCCATCCCTCGTCTCTGTGTACATGTTAGAACCCCTGGGTTGGTACAATCATACCCTTAAACCAACTTGCCCCCAACTCAAACGTTAATCCCCCCTCCTTTTGTTGGAACCCCTGGGTTGCCCCCCCCAAGTCCCCACCTTTTACATCCCACCTCGGGTCACAGTTAAGTGTGACCTTACATAAATCCTCTAATACTGACAGACAACCACCTGACTACAATGACATCACAATTTGACCACCCTGGGGTCAGAGCAGTGACTCTGTCCATAACACCACACATACCTACACATCACGGCCATTGATAGCTCTCAAAATGTTCATTTGAAAGACCATCACCCCATAAAAACCACATTGCCCTAAATTTCATTTTGTTATGAAGACCCTAAAATGGTACTTATATGGCGTTTTATGGTGGTGTAAACATGGCTAGGCACTGCCTGCTGGTCCTAATTGAGGTCCAATAGCCTCTCTTTGTTCATCACATAAGGGGCACCTGCTATGTCTATCAACTACAACTCTATGAGGGGTCTGGTGCTGGCCCCAACAGCTTCAGATTGGATATCAGTCAGAAGTCAGACAAAAATAACACGAAATTGACAAATAATGAGAGTCATTCATTAGACAGTTGTTCTCTTCAGGTGTTGATTTCAAATTACCCATTGTGTTTTGAGGTCACCTTTCAGAAGTGTCCCGCTCTATACAACAGTAATCATATTGTGTAGTCTAAAAACATTTTTCCTCACAAAAAGTTATCATCCCATCACGATTCCTATTGATGTTGAGGATACATCTGTCTTTAAAAACAAAATATAAAGACCAGTCTGCACAGAAACATGTCAAATTGCAGGAGCTTTAAAATATTAATGAGAAAATGAGATAGTGTTGGTCAAGTGACACAAAAAACTATGGATCACAGTTAGTGGCAGTGCTCTCTGCTGATAGCCAATAGGTTCTCCAATTAGTGAACAAAGAGAATCAGCCATTTCTTAATGCCATATTATCTACAACTGTGATTCTGAAGGTTCAACAAGTATTGTGATGCAATGATTAAGATACAAATTCTGTTACATTTTATTTCTGAATCTATGATACCCAAAGACTTTACGTATGTACAAATGGGAGCTCCTAGCCAGGGACAGACTAATTTACCGATGTTGGCTACCACAGCTAACAACATTGCAAGGCCACAAATCCTCCTGGGAATTTTACCTTACCTAAATCAAATCAGTTTCTGACAAAGTTTAATTTGATTAGCAGACTTAATTAAAACAAGCACCTGTTGCTGACTTCCTTAAACATAAATTAGGTTGGAATTTATTTAACATACCCATCTGATTACTGTCAAACTCTGTCCAATTAAATTGGGTGGAGAACAATTTACTGATATTGGTATTGTGAACCTGTATCTCAACCTTATCTGTGGCCCTTCATTATACTCCCAGTACAAATCACTTCTAACAAATTGCATTTGAAAACAATTTAATGATAAACTGAAATATCCCTGTCCCCCCCTCCCCCCAGCTAGCTTATCCATTTTTACAAATTAAATTTGAAAAACAATTAAGTGATAAGTGCACTCAGCCGTCCCTCTATATTAGATGCAATTAGGTGGAGTATTTCCTTGGTATACCACTGAGAATTCTCACTGGGACCGAGTGTCACCCAGCACCCCTCCCACCAATCAGGGATCAGATTCAGTGGCTGGGAGCTCAAGATGCAGGGAACCTTCCACTCAATCTGGTCTTAATAAATATAAATGTTCTGGAACAAATTACACACAGACATTTCTGCACTAATGGTGTGCATTTTTAACATTTCTGTCATGAATAATTTTTCAATGTTCTGTGACACTGTGAAGATTTCAACAAGGTTTTATTCACAGTTGTGGTCAAATAAGTAAAATGGTTAACACTTTTCAAGTTGTAGTGACAAACTAATTAATGATGATGATTAGATCTGATCCAGCCAACATTCTCGCAGTGATAGAGTTCTGACACCTCGCCCTCCTTACTAGATTCCCATCAGCAACTTGACATGTTCACCTAAGTGTATACTATTTTTTAATTCTTTAAACTCAAAAGAGAAAGGTTCATTAAATATCTTGAAATTTGAAACTGGCAAGACACTGACAACAAGATTTATTGCTGGATTGTAAAGGTTCAAGCCTCCTGTGGTGGCATTCAACCATGTACATTGTAATACAGATGTGACTGTCAGTCAGTAGGAAGCCAGGCAAGTGTAGTGACAAACATGAATATGGATCATATACCATAAATAGATGATGATATTTAAAGATAATAATTACTAATATGTAAGTTGCCAATGATGAGCTGCTGAGTAAATAATGGCCTATTTGTCTATTGGCGGTGTGAGGACTCTGACATAACCCATTAGTGCTCGATCAGATTAGACATAGGTCATGAAGATGTGCTCAAATAGACATTTACTGGGGAAGGCTCATTGTGGAAAATTGACTGACAACAATTAGGACATTGTACATTGGCTGTCCTGGTCATCTACGGTTACATCACTGGTCAGATCTTTTCAGAGCTGACCACAGGCTTGGTCAAAATTGGAGTGTTCTGTCATTTAATAGTGACTAGTTTGACCAGAACTAATCAGGGGCTGGCCAGAATGACCTTGACAAAACCTTGTGGCCTATCAGAACTTATCTGAGTATCTAAATGAGGTTTTCTAGTACCAAACTGTGTTAATCCTGGCAGTAAAACTCTAACTTCTGACATCCTTGGTGTTGTTATCTTTTAATAAGTACCTGCTCAAACACCAACCTGTCATTTAGCTGCACTAAGGGCAGTTAGGGTAATTGTCGGGCAGTAAAACCATTACCTAATTGGCCTTGTTTCCTGGCAAAAACCTGAACTAATCAGCAAAAATCTTCAATTCAAATATTTAAACAGCTGATAATGTATCCAAACTTACCATCAAACATAGGAAAATGTTGTTGTTTTACACCAATAACTTGTTTGAATATTACATCAATCTTATTAAGAAATGTCAATTAGTTTAGTTTTTCACCAGAAAACAAGGCACTTATACACTCTATACAGTTTTGATAGTGTCCTCAGTAATGTTATAAAGTTTGTACTGACCTTCACTTTGTAGAACCTTGAGTGGTTTGGACTTGGGGCCAGGTTTTACTACTGGAGTACTGGTTGGGTAGGAATCATCAGGTTGGAGGGAGGAACTTCTCTCTTCTGTACTCCCTGTCACCTTCAGACGCTTACATGGGCTGATGATCTGGGCAATGCTTTCGATCTCCTCATAAACATGTATACTCTCCATTGCGGGCTGGTTTGGGTGCATGGCATTCATCGGCAACCGTTCTGAAAATATACATACAAACCAATTAACTAAGATAAATACATTTTTGGTAGAAGAGTTGATTTTTTTGTGGGTTGTGTGCAGTATTGATGATCTTTTGATATTCAAAACAATAAGAAGCTGTCCTTGAAATGTCTATGTTCATAGTTCAAATAATCTCATTTGATGTCATTACAATTGGAGGGAATGTACAAGGTAGCCGAAAGTGGGAATAAAATTAACATGTTCTGTCCACTACCATAGAGAAAACGAAGTATTACTGCTCCACATAATTGATGCATTAAGTCCAGAAAATGATCATTCAAAAAACTATCAATAAATCCAAACACAGTACACTCTAGCAGCATGGGGGCATGTAGTGTATTTCAAACCAAGCCTTCTGTCAAAGGTCGGACGGGACATTTGAACCGTGAAGGATACATGGCGTAAAATGGTCAAAGGTTGAAAGTAACTTCCGTTGACCACATGACAAATCACGCTGTTATTTAGAGTACAAATGACCAGTGGTCTAACCCCAATTTCTAATGTTTGGTTAACAAACATGAACACGAGACCTGTCGTAAATCAAATCCACACCACCCATCACTTCAAAGGGCGGAGCGGCGAGCTCAGTCAGCCTCCGGGCAGGCAAAGCACGGCTACAACGGTCCGTCCGTTTTTACCGTTTTGAACCTTAAAAATAGTCTACATTATAAACTGACCAAAGAATTCACTTCCTACTTGGAGTTGATTAATTGCGGAGAGTTTTCCGATAGTAAGACGTACGTTTCTGGTCCGACTTTTATGTTGGTCTATGGAAAAGTCTACTATCGAGGTTTGGGGTTAATATGTCAAATAGTGCAAAGTAACCGTTTTTACTTTTGGTGATTACTTTTACTTACTACATATATATAAATGATAATTCCACTTTTCTTTCCTGGTTTGACAGTATTTGTTTTATAAACTATCTACGTGCAGGTTTCCCCTCTCGATACCGATATAGAACTGGAATCATCGGTCCTCGTCATCAATTATTACCCTGAACCGTTTTAGTACCTTATTTTCACGGCCGAGGAGTGAAAGCGAAAGTAGGAGGTGTAAAGACTAGATAAGATCTCGCGCCGGTGACACCTGAATTACAGACCCTCGGGCCTAATGTACCGTGACAGTGATCGACGTAACACAATTACCCTTGGGTGTACAAATCTATCGACCAATTACAAATATCGAATATTTTTATAACATCCTCTATTCCTTTAGTAATAATAGATTTTTTTTTTCAATTTTTGAGTAATTGAATTTTGTTCAAAAATGAAAAAAATTCTTTATTCCCTTTACCAATAACAAGCGAATGTACACAAAATAACCGCATAAAGAAAAATTAAAGACGCGTATTATTGATAGCAAATCATTTAATGTTTTAGTAATTTTACAATTAACCAACGTGTGATAAGTACATTATTGCCATTCCGATAGTATAGATCGGAATCTTCTGAATATCCTAAACTTGCCTAAGATGCTACCAATAAAGACATTCATAAAATGAATGACGGCAATTTACATTGAAATCTCGTATCAATCCACAAATGTTTTATGCGCAACTTTTAACCAGCACAAAAAAAAAAATGAATCTTTAAAAACTTTTCAAAGACAGTAACGACATTAAGATCTAGAAGATGGACCATACCTGGAAACTGGGAGTAGATATTCTCCTTACATTCCCTCCGCGTTCTCAGCAAGTCATAGATAGACTGATACATTGTGTTACTGGTAATGACACGAAACGTAAACACACAAATCCGATTTATTCCGCGACACAGTCCAACTGGTCAAGTGGTCATGATTTGTACACAAGGGGTCAAAGAATACTAGCTAAGTCCTTCATTTACTGGGATCTGACTGTATTAAATGCCCGTCACCAATTGTAGAGTTGTTGGTAATCCTCTTTTCCAGCGTCCGTTTTCAATTAAAATCCCGTTTTTGTCACTAACACATTAAGATGATGCTGTTCGATAAATCTAAGTGTCCGCCTCAGCATCAGGGGGTCAAAGTTGAAATATCGGGAAGTCCATTCACTACTGTAGAAACCCCACTGTCTATTAAATTCCTCACGAATGTTGACAGAGAGCCTAATGCTTGTTGAGATTAATCCGTAAGTATTTACTTTGCAATGGTCACAATCACTATAAGGCCAAGACTGACAAACGCCTAGATGTGCTCTGCCGTAGTTACCATTTAATAATGTCACAATAATACAGAACGAAACGACTATATCCCTATCCGAATGCTCTGAGGGCATTATGTATTTATTTTTTAAATCACAATGGTCAATTTTTATACATCGAGGCAACAGGCCAGTTATAATAACTTGCTTGACCACAACAATAAGACTACATAGTATAATAGAGGGATGACAATGGGTCGTTTGAGTCAGTGAAAGCAGTTTGACCACAGGGGATAGATAGGGCTGGTATGACATGATCTTATCTGTGACTCTACACGATCCCGGGGGTCGGGGTCAGTGCCATAAAAATGACATCCTTACCCTACTGGTCAGTTATGACTAAGGGTCATCATGCGTTGATTGTACTTAAGCCCTGATTAATTCATTCGTAATCCGATACCAATCTTATATGTGTAACCATGATCAGTTCAAATCACAATTAATTTTCGGGTGATTATGATGTCACAATTATTTTTACTAAATACATATTTGTACATCCTTTGTCATTAAAAAAGACCACAACAGAAAGACGTGATGATACCTCAATATATATTTGTAAACAGTAACGGGAACTAGACCTGCTTTACAGAAACCGATGACATGTCTTTCATGACGTCTCAACAGCATCGCAGATTCACGTTAAACCAAAACGTCACTTTTAACTTTAAACTCTTAACAGCTAATTATAAATAATACTTTATTTTTCAATATTTTTCAACTCAAACTATTCTTCAAATGTCTGTTAAATTGACATTTAATAAATCACTTCAATTCAATGTATACTATTATATTTTAACACATATTTTAACTTCTCACAATATGAGTTACTATCTAACTACATGTATAAATGAGCAAAACATTTTTTTAATTGAATTTACTATTACAAATTAATTTGAAGGAAAATAAATCAACGTATTCAAATGAACGTGTACACGTAAACGTCGTCTTTTTATTGGTTCTACTGACTGTCAAAATATGAATTTCATTTTCATCTAGTGCCAATGATCTAGTGGCTATTCTCTCTGTATACAATAGTACAACTGTTCAATTAAAGGCAATGACTGTCATCAGCTGAGATCTGGACGTATTCCCTAGAAGATGGTTACTAACATAGTATTGTGTAGAAGATATTAACATACTTCTGGTAAATCGTCTGTAACATTTTAATGATGTATAAGCAGAAAAGATCCGTCTAGCAATTTACTGGCTCAGCACCCATAAAGCCAGCTCGAGTGTTTTTTAAGCACTTGGAATGGTTTAATTCTTTGATCCGATCTGTCTGGCTTGAGGATGTCTACCACGTGTACGCGTTGTCAAACATTGTAAATAAATAACATCGTAAAGAGATACGTCTGTACGTTGTTAATTTCAGTTCTTGTTGCTTTGAGCTTTGGGGGTCATCATTGTGTGATATAGTGTAAATTATGTCCTGTGCAGAAATACAGAAAACATAACATAAACACACAATACAATCACAGAATTTCAAGTAAAACCGGAGTTAGATGTGTATGTAATAAGCACCAGTCCTTCTCTTATAAGCAAATTTTGAATACTTGGATAGGTTTGCAGTTTTTGTATTATTTGACGGCAGTGTTTCTGACTTGAACTTGAATTTGGACTTGACTTGGGCTAAAAGTTTCAAATAAATTTCTTTCTCGGGTACGAATAAAAGGTTTTAATACAAAATTGAAATTATCTTCGCTGTCTCTGACTATGCTCAATAGCTAATGGCTGTATCTCGATTTATAATGTGGTCATGATTCATATTTATCAATCATTAGTCCTTATTGTTGATAATTTAAAATGCCATGTAACAAGCCTAACGGAATTCTCAGACTTTTTAGAACATATATCTGATATACACTCACAGTCAGTCGTTGTTGAACAATGATCCCGACTTCATTATTAATGACGTAAAAAACACTATTATGACCAGTTCTTTAATAAATATAGCGAACTGAATTTAAACGGTCATTTTGCGACCACCGAATTTTGTAGCAATAGTGATTTAAGTCTCGTTTTTAAATTGAGCACGCGCCAACACGTCTATCCCTTTCCCTCTGTGTGATTTATCGGTCCATTACGCGTGGCGAAAATGACCATTTTTTAAAGTTCAAAGAAATGTAATTGAAATCCTTGACTAATTTCCACATTTTCGCCTGTTGGACGAAATATGTGCGCAAGCTGTTTGTCGTTTTAGCAAAAAGGAACCGTACAAATTGATGACATATTGAAGGACGACCTGAATCTGCTCCGGTGGGCAGGGTTACCGGAAAATGGGCAGATTACCTCAGTCAATTAGCGAACCCTCGCAGCAGGTGCGAGTAGAGAAATGGTCTATAGACTGTAATTGTGACATTCGTGATGGATTTCAGCTAACCGATAGGTCTTCATCAACGACGGATTTTAAATTCTTGGTTCAATAAATCGTTTGTAGTGACATCACCCCTAACCAAACCCCTAACCTTTAATTACACAACTGACGTTGTAGTGACATCACCCCTAACCAAACCCCTAACGTTTAATTACACCACTGAAGTTGTAGTTACATCACCCCTACCTAAACCCCTAACGTTAAATTACACAACTGAAGTTGTAGTTACATTACCCCTAACTAAACCCCTAACCTTTAATTACACAACTTAAGTTGTAGTGACATCACCCCTAACCAAACCCCTAACGTTTAATTACACAACTGACGTTGTAGTCACATCACCCCTAACCAAACCCCTAACGTTTAATTACACCACTGAAGTTGTAGTTACATCACCCCTAACCTTTAATTACACAACTGAAGTTGTAGTTACATCTCCCCTAACTAAACCCCTAACGTTTAATTATACAACTGAAGTTCTAGTTACATCACCCCTAACCTTTAATTACACAACTGACGTTGTAGTGACATCACCCCTAACCAAACCCCTAACGTTTAATTACACCACTGAAGTTGTAGTTACATCACCCCTAACGTTTAATTACACAACTGACGGTGTAGTCACATCACCCCTAACCAAACCCCTAACGTTTAATTACACAACTGAAGTTGTAGTTGCATCACCCCTAACCAAACCCCTAACGTTTAATTACACCACTGAAGTTGTAGTTACATCACCCCTAACTAAACCCCTAACGTTTAATTACACAACTGAATTTAGTTAGAAAGCTGCATTGGTCCATTGTGACGTAACTATACCAAAATGTTATCAGCTAATGCTAGAGTACATATAGAATTATCCACTCATTTTGACCTTGACATTTGATTTTGACCCAACCCGAATGAACCCATACGATTCAGTTTAAAAGGAGAAATCGACTTTGACCTTTGTAACTGTTTTTGAGCAGTTTGACCTAGGTGATCTTGACCACTGACGACACAATACCTGGTATATGGCCGTTACGATCTTGTTGTTTAACTTGACCCTACTCTAGTGGAATCTTTGTATCCTTTCCAACAAAATGCCTCACCAATGAACTATTAGTATACATCCCTATACAATAATGCTTCAAAGTATTGCCATTATGGAATGTAAACCGAAAGACATATCTTCGGGACCTTGACCTTTTTGAGTAAACACAACCAGTACCCAAAGGAACCCACTATAACAAGTGTCAAGATGCTCACTCAACTAGTTCCAGAGAAATAGCGATAAAACAGTTTCGTTTTGGGTTTTTTCAGTCTCAAAATGAAACTTGCATAACAATGTACCAAGGTATATTTGCTTGTGCAATTTGAGAAAGAACCCAGACAAAATTGAGATATAGAAATAACAAAGGCCACCATCCAAGATGGTCGCCTTTGCTTGAAGCCATCTTGTTATTCCAATTAGTGTGAAAATAGAACTTGCACAACTGAGGACCACTTAACAGATACAGAATCTGAATTTGTCGTTCCAAACCAAACTCTACCCACAGTTGTCGTCCCCTATAGTGGCTGTTAGGGACGACAACTCTAGATAGAGTTTGTTAGCAAACATAACTGAAGGAATCACTAAGACCACGGACTTAGATAACAAAATCTAATCTAATTCCGTGCTAAGACTTCCCGTTTTAGGTTTGAACAAAAAAACATAAATTAGGGCGGCTTCCCCAGTTGCCAATAAGGAAGACGTTAATGTTACCAAAGTACGGGCAAGCCCTGTATAACGGTACGTACCTGTCCGGGACACACCCTGTCCTTACATCGTGTTGATGTCCAGATCTACAATTTCAAACCTGAACATCGCAAGAGGACCCAAGAAGGACATAGAAACGCGGAATTTTGGCCAGAAATAAGTTTTAATTGTAAGGTAATAAAGTGCACACGTTTGTCGCCGATATATCTATAGCTGGATAAAGTATAATAGGAGAAAGAATGTACCTTTCACACGTAAACCGGTCACACGTGTCTGGGACAAGTCTACCTGTGTGTACGATCATTTGTCATGGTCACTGGACAGTTACGCTGACCCCTCAGGGCTAAAAAACAGTAAATCGTTTGTAGGGGTCTGACCAGTTACATGGCTTGGAAAAAACCTACTCGCTACTAAACTGGTCTACATTTTATGCAGACGATTATTTTTGACAAATAACTAAGTTTCATATATATCACTCCTCTGTATACTGTCGATGGATATTGAACTGAAAATGTATAACGTGTATCGATAAACTTGTATCACTGTTTCAGGACAGACGTAATATAAGTTAATATACAGTTCTTAAAACGGTGACATTCGCGTCATCACTCGGCCCTGAAATTATTAATTAAAGGAAGTGATCGGTGATGCTCGGATAAGCAAAGATGGAGTTCACAGTATTTTTGGCGATATAACCGATTAAAGAACCATTTCCCTAATGACGATGTACATTTGAATAAGTACAAACGAACTTATAGACTGCACCCCTACTGAAACACAGCCGTACTTCAAAAGTAATATGTACAGGGGAAAGTCGGTTGGCCTGCTAAATGCTTAAGCTTGAATTCTTTATTTATCTACTTTTCAATATTTGG